TACGCAAATGAGTAATAGTCTGGTGCCTGACTGTGCGTTACATTAGCGTTTGTTTTTGTATGTGGTGACTGGGGTAAAAACAATCAATTCGCGCGCCGTGAGTTATACGAAAAAACGATTGTTTTCGAAATTTAACTGTTACAATCTTATCCCACCAATATGCAGTATCACGCTCAAGCAAACGACGTTTGAAAGCTGAAGCACACGACGTTTGTAAGCTCAAGCACACGACGTTTGAAAGCTCAAGCACACGACGTTTGAAAGCTCAAGCACACGACGTTTGTAAGCTCAAGCACATGACGTTTGAAAGCTCAAGCACACGACGTTTGCCTGTCCCTTTTAGAACACCATAACATAGTGACCCAGATGCCCCTACCAGTGACCGTCGGTGATATATGGCGGATGGTTTATGATTACAACTGCTCATGCATCGTTATGCTAAATAACATGGTCGACAATGATCCGGTAAGTACACGTATCAGCCCAATCATGACAGTTTATCAATTACATGTACTTAGATGTGTTTGTAACTATATAGGGTGTTTTACTTATACTCTTTAAAATCGAGGCTAAACGATATCTAAGACCTATTTGAGTTTTTTTAAATTAAACATTCTCTTGCATTGTTTTTCTTTTACATTTTATCACTACTCTTTTCCTCGTAGACCTTCGGCAAGTATTGGACCGACGCGGGTTCTTTGACATGCTCTCCTATGGCTATGATCAGCCTCCAATCGACGGACCAAATGCAGACCAATACTACCGTGCGCTACCTGACTCTCACCAATGGTTATAAAACATAGTCAGACGGAAAGTGCGGGTTGTTTGGTTAGTGTGAAATTGTCTTTTAGAAGAAAACATTGCCTTTCGCAAAGAATTGTGTACTATTGTGTCTTTTCCTAAGGCTTCATTGAGCCATATCTTTTTCGGTAAGAATCAGGCTAAAATTTAGAAACACGTACGTTTTAAACTATAGTACATGTAGTCAAATTGGTATGTATTCATCACAGGTATCACGCATGATGTGTCATCTTTAACTGCCTGACTGGCCAAATGGCCGGCTACCAGCGTCTCCAGCGACCGTCTTGCAGTGGGTTTTAGCGGTACGGGAATGGCAGTGCGACCACACAGAAGGAACTATTGTCACCCACTGCATGTAAGCAGGGAATATTCTTGTTTGTAGCAACAAAGTCAACAGTTGTTAATTTTGCTTCCATTCAAAAAAATGAAAAGATTAGTTAAGGCCTACACACTGGACCAACAGTTTCAAAGTAAAGTCTCTTCGGTACTGTACCATCCCCTGTAATATGAATTCAAATTCAATTTATTCTTGAGCTATAATGGTATAAGGGCCTGACTACAGATCATTCCTAGCACGCTATTACTGATAGGCCCCCTTTAATGGCGAACCCATTGTGTCAACTATTGTACATTAAGCAACACGCACAATGCTTTCGCCACTGATTCGTGCACCGAATTAATGAGCGTGCACGCCATGGCCAATTTTGTTCCCGTTTCACATTCAACGCCGATGTAGCAGCACAATGCGTGCGTCTTAGACACATTTCCGAATTAATATCAATTAGGTCTCTCTCTTTCGGATCCTTAATTTTAATTGACGTTATCAATGCATGTAGTTCAATACACTTGGTTTGATGGATTCTGCAGGGCAGGAGCATATTTCATCCGTTTCCTCTTCCCCTCTGCATTAAAAGCAAGGTATCAGACATAAGAAATGGGTGAGGTTTACTCTTCCATATTAAACACAGCACACTGATGGCAAATCTTCGCTGCCAGGAGCAGATCTCGAGCATCTTTAAAAGCTTCGTTTTATCATCGCGTCAACTCTATTGAGGAAAGGGGTAATTATTAACTATTGCATCTTCTAATTAAAATATTGAATAGTGCGTATGGTACTTGTGGTTGCACTGAGGTACAACGACTGGACAACGGTGCAGGGCTTAAACACCGGGAATAACCTTCTTATCTAATTGTTATAAGAAAGAACTATCGGGAGACAAAATAAGTCAACGAACTATCTGCTTTTAGGCGCACACTTCTCAAAACATACATTGATAAACTGGAAAGTGATTTCTTCGACAGCAGCTGGCAACGTCTGACTGATGTAACATGACGGATATTTCTGCCATCTGTTGAGGACTGCGGACACCATTTTCCAACATTTCTTTGAGACGCCATATTTGGAATTGAGTTACGAATTAACGCATCTGCAACTATGGTATGAATCCAAGGGCAAGGCGCCCGGTATAACCATAGAGCGAACAGTCATAATGGCATGATCCACCCAGCGCGCATACGCCCATCGCACCGACAAACAGCGAACGAAATGACAGATAGTAAGTGGACATTGTGATTTTGTAAGCAGATGGTCAAGGTTTTGTCGTTTTTAAAAAACACGTCTAGCCATATTTCTTGCACAGGAGGACCCCAGCATCTAACTGTTGATTTACTGGATCACAAGAACATTGCGTTAGTTCTATCCGCTGACAACCTTGCTTTTGAACTGATGTTATAAATCACACGCACAAACAACAACACACAATGTCAATGAAAAATGCCACTTCGTTGATAAGTCTCGAAGAAGCGCAAACAGATGTTTGGGTTTGCCAGATCATTGCAGCAGAAGGAGTCTTTGGTTTCCTAGGAAACCTCTTGGTTTGCTTCGTCATTCTGCGCGTCAGGTTTCTCCACACCATGACTAACTATCTCCTGGTGAATTTAGCTGTGGCCGATATGCTGCTATGTCTCTGCACCTTTTTCCATTACCTTTTTGCGTCTAGCAGGTGTACTCTCATCAACATGGTTCCATCAAGCTCTCTTGGGAGGGAACTGTACTGCCGGCTTGTGGCGTCCCAGTCACTGATCTGGGTGTTTTTCAACGCGTCCGCTTACAACCTGTGCGTGGTGACGCTGGAAAGATACATAGCCATCGTACATCCACTCAAATATGCCAGGAAAGTCACAGCTACAAGGATGAAGACACTCGTGACTCTGCTCTGGATGCTTTCTGTTCTGTTGGCTCTGCCTTTTCTATTCACAATCAAAGCCAGCGATGATCTCGACAAAGCCTGTTCTGACATCGAGTACCTCAATCAAGCATTCCCCATTTTGCTTAGTGTGGTATTGGTTTCATTCACCTACATTATGCCCGTCATAATGATGAGTTGGGCGTACTACAAAATGCAGGTTACTCTCAAAAGACAAGCACAAGCTCTGAACCTACAACGCGCGAGGGCAGCAGCGGTTGATCTCGTGATTGCTAGACAGCGTGTCATCAGCATGCTTACGATAGTCCTGGGGGCTCTCATAATTCTCTGGACACCGGATAATGTCTGCGTTATTTTATGCTTGTATCCGACAAGCGACAGCACACTTAATTTCTGTGGTTCAGAGAGTTTCAAGTACATCAGTGGCATAACCAGTTTCCTGCTATACCTTAACTCGGTGGTTAACCCCATCATCTACGAGCTGAAGTACAAGAAATTCCGGAAGGGTTTGAGGGCGGTTTTCTGCACTTGTTTGGACGAGCACGGCGGAAGTAACAGCGTGGATGCCGAGATGGCTCGACGTTGATGAGTTGTCACTGAGTGGTGTTTTCATTTAGGACCTGCTATAGAGTGAAAGTCACGAAATTTGCAGTTAATACACACGAAATATGTTCAGATATCTCGTGTGCTTCTGAAACAGCTATTCGAATGGTATGCTCCATCCATCTGCAGGAGACTGTCGCACTATGGCGATGCAGGGCGAAGGGAGGAGTGCACTGCCTGATTTTCAACAGAGAATATCACACGTTAGTGTAAATGGATTTGAAGAAACAATTGGAAACACCGTTTGAACAAAATGTCGTAGCATTAAGACGTTAAACATTGCTTTCGTCCCGTGGCCGTGCGCACGAGAGCAAAGGAAATCAGCAGGGCTCCTTTCCGCACGACTGAAAAAAAATAACCTTGTGCTTCAGTACGGAAGCTTGAATTGCCTTCCGCGATACCGCGTTACCGCGATAATTTATCGCAGAAATCCGGAATTCAAAGATAATTCCTTCCGCGATACTGGATTTCTGTGATGATTATCGCGGTAACGCGGTATCAAGGAAGGAATTATCTTTGAATTCCGGATTTCTGTGATAAATTATCGCGGTAACGCGGTATCGCGGAAGGAATTATCTTTGATTTCCGGATTTCTGCGATAAATTATCGCGGTAACGCGGTATCTCGGAAGGCAATTCAAGCTTCCGTACTTCAGTGTACCCGTCCACCAAAGTTTTTATTCTGTGCCCCAACATACCCACTTACCCAAGAAAGTAATGCCTATGAAAATTGTAGGGACTTTTCTTAATAATAAGCGATAAATCCTAGAGAACTTGAGAGAAATGACCCGAATATTTGGACCCCTGTACATTTTCAATGGACCACTTTCGTTTCTTGCCGGCAGGCCCATTGATGCGCATTAATGCAAAATGTGTGAATTATTTAGTAAAAAGGTCAATGGCGTGTTGCCATCAAACCCTTTGTGCTCAAATTCAACTCCACTTAGCTCACAAATTATATTTTAGGCTAATCCAGTTATGCAGACAACCCAGAAGAAGGTGTATTGCTTGTAAAAATAAAAACCAGAGGTGGAATAAGAAGCAGCATAGTTTTTACTCATTGTGGCTTCAAAACCAGTTCATCTCTTTTAGTGGGCACTTAATCGTTTTATTGATTATACTTTCAGAAAACCCATTCAAGTGCTAAAATCACCATTGCCAAAAGTGTCGCTTTGCATTATCGTTTGCATCGCTAGCTGTTGAACAATATTGCACAGGTTGTACCGGGAAGTGTCAACGTTGTTTTGAACATAATCTTGTTTAATCCATTATTACTCAGACATAAACGTTGTCTTCAATTAAACAGTACAATTTGTTTGCTATTATGAACCTGTTTCATTATGCAACTATTTTCTTTAAGCAAAATACGTGGAAATTATGACAATATAAGACAATTTTCAACAAAGTTGAGACTTTATTACCAAATGATCTTCGACAACCGATATATCTTTGCCGTAACTTAATAAGAAAAATCACACCAATATCTGCAAGACAACAGGCTCAAGTTTCTAGCACACGATATATGTCGCGACCATTTCTAGTATTTCTTTTATAAGAACAAATTGTCTCATTTATAAACCCTGCTTACAACTCGTGACTATCACAGCAACACCGTGCACTGCACACTAAGCAATTCCGAAAAGCTCTTGGTTATAATACTATATATGACTTTAAGGTTTAGACAAATTTTCAAAATATCATACCAAAGCATGCTAGACCTTGTAAATCCTAAAAATGTCCTTATATCTTGCATATTTGAATTGAACAAGTGAACATTATAATGTCTTATTGAGTGCAATATAATTTGGAGAATATTCCGAAAAAACAACAAATATCGTTGGATAAATGTATACTTATTCGTTATCGGCACAGAAAAATTAATTTACAGCAATACATGTTAAACTAAACAAGATATGGCCTATTAAACTGTGTACTTCAATGTAACATTTTCAATGCGGTTCAGACGTTGAGCGTCTGACGAAATGTTGTGTGAAATGAGCAAATTTGTGATGTCAGAAATTGACTCGAGCAAAAGTTGTATCTACCATTCGAGCTCCGGAATACCGTCTGGGCGGCGAGTTATTTTTTCCCAATTTCTTTTTATGATTTGTTCGCAGGTATATATTACCATGAATTTTCTGGATTTGCAGTTCGATTGATCAGTTGGAAAGGATCGTTATTTTGTACCGCGAGGGATGGGTTCAAATCATAATTTTTACCCGAATATTTTTTTCTTTTCTAATTTCAGGCTTTCGAGGATTTTTTTAAACAGGGAAATAAAATCCAAATTTTATTAAGTTCGAATTCATGTTTGCTTTTATTTTCTTCTCACACTTAATAAGTAAATACCAAGCGTCATAGCGTACACCCCATACGGATGTCGTTTGGGAAAAATGCGTCCCGGCGCTCTACCAATTGAGCTATCCAGCCCTAGTAAGAAGCCATAAACCCGCAATGTGCCCCAAGGCAGAATGCTGGCAACGTAAGCTCTTCTGGAAATCCAGCAATCAGGTCTCACTCAAAGAAGATGCGATTATTTATAACAAATTAACCACGAAGCGAAACTGTTAAGAATGTTTCGTGTTTGTTTCGGGGTAAATATTTCAACCATGAAGCTCTACTTAAATTTACAAACTTGTTTTTTTTAACCTACACTTTCAAACCATTCCGAGTAAATGTCAAGGTACCATTTTACTTTAATTCTGAGTTGCATGCTAGCTTTAGGCTGCTTGTTTAGTTAAAAAGCAATGATGGGCACTCTCGCGCAACTAAAGATTTATCGCAGTGCAATAAAAGATTTCTTAAACTTGTTTTCGTTTTCTTTCAAAACTGAAAAATTTTACTTTAGTATTTTTTCTACATACGAATTTGTTGAAACCATGCTTTTATTTTCCCTTTTTCACACTAAGTCAGTAGAGTCTAAACGGTAACCGCTAGGTGGCGATTGAAGCTATGCACGTATATTCACGTACTTAGAATCAGGGATCAAAATCCACGAGGGTCTAAGGAGCAGGGAGTTGCCCTCCGCTTACATTGCTTATGGTGAGTCGACTAGATGGTTGTTTCATCACGCTTGAATGCCTCCAACAGGGTATCAAAGATGAATTCATAGTGGGTCTGCAGGAATGAAAGTATGTAAATGTAAATAAAAACGTAATCCCAATTACGTTATTTACATTCCCGTGCAACATATGAATACAAATTTAAATTTTCAAAACATATGTATTCATGCCTTGAAATGGTATTTCTTTACTAACATTATTTGGTGGCCAATTTGTCTGGCACGTGACGGCACTTCTGGGCGTATTGTCATAATTAGAACGTGGGTTTCTGTATATATCTTTAACTTGTCCTTTTATTTTAAACTTTAAAATTCTCATTTTGAAAAAGGAATCCGGGAACGATTTTAAATTTTAGGAGAGTGGGGTCATCATCCGACTTTAGGGGGCGTTTTTCATGATACAAAGCCAGTGGCGTAGCAAGGTCATTTTGATTGGAGGTAGACGTGCACAAGGGCATTTACCTCATCCGCGCGGAAAGGTAGACAGGTTTTTTTCCACCGGTCACCCGGCGTCCGTAAAACCAAAAAGGGGGTGGGGATTAGAGGTTGTACACCATCTGTCTATGGGGGCGCTGTTCAAAGCGGACGATCTTGAGCATCATCGGAAAATAAATGGCGCTTTGCACGGCGGCACAATTGCCGATGTTCACGCCTCATCAAAAAAAAAGCCGCTCGTGCAAAAAAGGCACTCGTGACTGTCTATTTCTTCACGGGTGCCGTTATTCACGAGTGCTCTATTTTTCACGGTTGCCATTTTTTCACGAGTGGCCTTATTTTGCCCCTAATTATATATTTTGTTTCCCCTATTGAACATGTATACTTACAGCAGATTGTATCATTCCCATCCTCATGCCTATCATATTGCGTGTAAAGTTCCCGATACACATTCTGCCTTCTGTCTTAGCCTGGTGTAGCATGGCGTCCAGAGTAATGAACAATCCTGTTCGACTGGTTCCAGTACTGTCAAGACAGAATATCATTCGATATCAAATCAAAACTCTTTCAAAACAGGGGTGATTACAGCTAGAAGAGGCTACAGACATCCATAGCTCATCCCCCTCCCCCACAAAGCTGTATAGCCCCACACCACCCCACCCCAAATAAGAATTTCTTAAGTATTTCTTTTTCGCGTACTTCATAATACTCGTCTTGCCTACGTTTTGTCTGAATTCTAATGGATTCCAATATAAAAATAAAATAAAATAACCGGGTCGTCAGTTTTTTTCAACCGACAATTAGCTTGACACATGCTTTTGCCATTAAACGGGGGCATCCATAGAGTGAGTTTGAATCAGAAGAAGTACCTGCAATGGACCACCATTGGTCCATTCATCTCAGACTTGAACTGCTTGACGGTTTTGATGAAGTTGATCACTTTGCTAGTGTCTTCTGGCAAACCTTCAGCGGGCCATGCTGTCAAGTGGAACTGTACAACCTTCTTGAGTTGTTTCTGAGAACAGTATATCCAAACAAAGTGAATCATTGACACGTGATGGCCACATAGCCATATCAAATTTGACAGATTTTTTTTTCTTTTTTAAGTTTTGACTTACTGCGCTTGTCAAGTGAGTGACCGGCTACTAATATCTATTATATAACCCCTCAAATAGTTCATTTCTGAAAATTACAGCAATAGTCAATAATGTACATTCCCTTTAACTCGGGCTCAGACTTGGTCTTCGATTACGTGGTCTCGCCCACACTGATTAAAGACTCACCTCGTGTGAGTGCTGTACAATACAATTATGACAAAATCCTGACACCGCCTTAGAGAATGGTCTTTGATTACCTTCGACTCAATTGCGAGTGTGAAATCTCTTATAACGTAATCAGCATGTGTCGTCTCGCTCATCAGTCTGACTGTGATGTTACCATAAGTAGTTATATCATCAGGCCAATATTTCTCACATTTGTCCTGGTAACAAAAGCCACAACGCAATGAGAGAAAACTGTTTTTATGTTACAAAAGTTTCTTTATCATAAAACAGTGAGCTTCTCTTTTCTCTCCTTCCTTCTCTGTGGCCCGGGTTCGAACCTGCCTAATCTTAAGTGGGGACTGGTTTTCAGTCCCTACCTGAGTCTAAAGAGATTCTCAAGAATATCTTTCTGAAGGTTTCTTGCTTTTAAACACGCATGCTTTAAAACACTGCATTGTGTTTTCTCCACACAGATTTCGTCAGACTTACGGACTAAAGCGCAAATGGCGGGATTTTTTTTTTTGATTGCGTCCCATTATCAATCAAAACACAATACATAAATAAGTATGCAGCATGATCACAGTTTCAACTTCAATTTAAAAAAAAAGGACATAATAGTACTCTTAACAAAAGTACCACAAACTGAGTCCTCATATACAAGAAGGAATAGGCATAGGAGAAAAACATCAGTTACAAGTAGCAAGTGTGACGTTACCTTGACGCCCTCCCGTAGGTTGGTCAACATGACGATCTTGGATGCGTTCTCTTGCCAAACCAAGCGCCACATGTCAGCTACGGATGCCTTGGTAGGACCTTAAACGTGACACAAAGACATTTTACTTTTCTGAAACCTTTAATGTAGGCTTAATGACAGACTTAAAAGGTCACCAAAAATGAATGTGTCGGTATACACTTTATACCAGTGCCAACTAATTTGATGGGATATGTTTTCAGTCCCCTGAAAATCTACGCTGGGTTGAGGAAAATGATTGTGTAACGTTTATATGAGATGCTACAACTGCCAGTGCATCAATGCATAACACAATAGTGGTAACTATTTTTTTGGATAGCTAATGCTACCGTCGTTTCCTTTCCCATGCAAAATGCTAGGGAATTCTATAAGTTCGGTACACAAGACGGTTTTTATTCTGGTTCCCAGACCAAAAGATTCTAACTATTCCTGATGTATCTTAGGCCAGGTAGCCGCTAGTATCTATACAAAATAAATCTACGGCATGTGACTAAAACAGGAGGAATGCCTCCCATTTCCAGAAATGCCGAAGTTTGCCGAATGTATTTCGTCGACAATCTCGGATAGAGCCCACGTATTTCCAAGTACATTGTACATGGGTTTTATTTACCCACCTTGCTTATACAAATCTAAAAACTGAGTTCGTAAAAAAATATCAATTACTTGCGTTTAGAAAACTTGAAATTCAATGACGATGTTGTGCATCAAGTACGAGGGGCGAGTTTTGCTGCGTCATGTATTCTTTTGAATCTGACGACGGTTACCAGAATTTTCCAAAACCCGGCGTGGTCTCCATTTGGCTTCACCGGCTAAGTGCTAAGTGGCAAACCCGGGTCACAAATTTGGAAAAACAGTATGAAAGAGATGATATACACCATAACCCCTCAGGTTTGAAGTCCACGATTGTACGCACCTTGACTTGCAATGTATTTCCTTGGCTCATTGACACCCTAGAAAGACAAATGGAAATAAAATCAAGACAAGATAAGTTTGCGGTAGCACCATGTGAATACATCTCTTTTGTGAGTATGTGTTGTTCTGAAAAGAACCACACATACTCACAAAAGGAAATAAAATCACTCGAATTTATGGTCGACATGATTACCTCATACTTAATAGTCTCATTACAGAGATAATGTTTAACAATCTTCCAGTTGTTTTAATATCACTCTAAACAGCTCTTTTTTTAGACTTGGTGAACACAACAGCAGGCAGTCTTTGGAGTCTATAGATTTGGGTTCCTTGAAAAGAGATTATGATAGCGTCCTCATATTGTGTCAACTGTATCTCCAAAAGGCTAACTGAGAGGGACCCATGGATAGGACGAGAGGTACGAACGAAGGATGTGATACGAACCAGTTACATAACAATTTGAAACAAAATCGCCAATTTCCTTTATTTGTTATTTCTACACCACATTCTGTCTTGTCATTTGGACCCAGTAAAGTGTCAGGTCAACCTGACCTAGCTTGCAGGTGGAATCTGATCTGGGACCTTTACGAGTATATGTAGCACATGGGATGAACATCATTGACTAAGTATACTGTCAAGTCAAATCTGACCTGGATTGCAGGTGAAATCTGACCCGGGACCTTTACGAGTACATGCATGGCACATGGAATGAACGTCATTGACCAAGCGTATATAGTCAGGTCAATCTGACCCGAATTTCAGGTGAAATCTGATCTGGGACCCTCACGAATGCATGTATGTCTCATTGGATGAACGTCATTAACCAAGAATAGTGTCAGCTCAATCTGACCCGAAGTGCAGGTGGAACCTGAACCGGTCACATGGTATGAATAAGTCTTCCTTTATTCACCGTAAATGCAGATGGAGATGAGGTCTAGGAAATCTGCCTGACCTTGACAATTCAATATTGGTTCCTACAGATGGAATAAAGGCCCAAATTGAAACTTAACTTGTGATAAAAATAAGGCATCTTTTGGGGTATCGTACGGGCCACTTACGTTAATGTAACTAGCATTCACGTAGTCTGAGTTGGGGTCATCAGCTACTGTTTCCAGCACAACTCGAGTCTCGTCATCTACAATTAAGCAATGAAAAAAGAGGAAATGACAGATTCATATTCATCCTAAATTAATTCTCTAGATTATTAGTACACAATGAGTTCCTGTGACCTGTCTGTAGTTGCCGTGTATTTATTGTCTAAAAAATAGTGTTTTGAATTCTTTATCCCATAAGGCCTATGTACTATTGTGAAAAACTCAGTTTGCAGGTGACTCTAAAAATTTGAATACGGTGTAAATATTGGGTAAATGTTGTTGGTTATTTGGGCTTCTTTTCAGTTTCTAAAGTACAGTTAGGTGCATTACATGACCATCTACGGTTATCTCAATGTAATATAGGGCCTATAATTCCACTTACATGGGAGTATGTTTGCATAGCGATTTTTCTCTCTGTTTGCATGTTTCTTCGCCACAGACCACGGATGCTTGACTGGAGTAGGCATTTTCTGAAAAACCAGAGGTTCAGACAAAGTAATTCAAATTCACGAAATTAACACATTTTTAGAGATATTTTCCGCATAATTTAACCCAGCATTAACTCACCTCATAATCCTCTAGGAAGCCATTACCATTCTTAAAAGACGTTGATTTCTTCGCGCGGACGTAGTCCTCAAACCTGTCCACAGGTATAGCATCAGAGGCTCCACGTGTGATCGCAGACTGGATGGATTTTGTAATAACTGGCTTCGTGGTTCTTGGTGGGGGCTTGGGCTTGGAACGTGCAGCGAACCTAGGTGTGTCGTAGATAATCGCTCCCTTTTTGGGGCGGTTACTTTTCAACTCGGCTCCGTCTGCATTGTTGGAAAAAAAATAACAAAATGATCACACTGCGCTGTCACTCTCCAGAAGTATATCATTGGTTACACTGGGTGGGTAATCTTCGCAAGCCAATGTTACAAATATCGTCAAATTAATACAACGATGAGGTGAATTTCCCTTGGGCCCTACCAGGCTTTCGATGTCTGAGTGAGCCCAGTGTTACATTATCAGGTTAATCCCTTAAGGCAATCATTTACACCAGGCGCGGTTCTAAGGGGGGCTAAGGGCGGGGGGGGGGGGGCTTTAGCCCCCCCCCAAACAATTTTTGTCTAGCCCCCCAAAATAAATTCCGTAAAAAGTAATTGCATTAGAAAAAGAAGGATTGCGATGTTCATGCGAACGGTCTCCCCCTAAAGAAATAGTCGTGACAAGGGTGCATTTGTAGTTAATACAGTGTTAATGATTTTAGGATTTTATTGGCGCTCCCCATTGAAAATATGGCATGAGCCCCCCCCCCCTCCCCCTCCCCCCTCCCCCTCCCCCCCCCCTCCCCCTCCCCCCTCCCCCTCCCCCCTCCCCCCTCCCCCTCCCCCTCCCCCCTCCCCCCCACCTATTCATTTTCGGAGGCCTAAGTGTCTGGAGAAAATAACCGGTCTACATTAGTACGCCTCCCTGAAAAAAATTCCGGATCCACCCTGCTAACCCCCCAAAAATATTGGTTCTAGAACCGCGCCTGAGTTACACCACATGAGGCCAGTCCACAAACAGTACAGTTTACTTCTCGCTGGGTCTACCTTTTGGAAACCCCTCACATGTTTATACATACATGCACAGGCGAAAAATGCCATTATTTTGGTTGTTTGTGCATCAATTTCAATGATCAAAGAAAGAAAACATGGTTTCATTACCCGAAAAAAATTAAGTGATTCAGGTATGCCAAACAAGTCATTAAGTCAAGCAATACTAATTGTTCCCTCCTGGTGGAAGGCATTCATCTGGTGCTTAGGAGATACAAATTTTGAGATAAGAGAGATCCCAAGCCCTGGTACAGTCTTGATGAAACACTCGAATATAAGGCCCCTCGTCGGGTTTTCTTTTAAAAGAGGATTCACGGCATGATGTGCCCACGGGCACACTTTAGAAACACCTTCAATGACCGTTTTGTTTCGTACGATACCATTTCAGGCGAAATAGTTTTACAGGGAAGTTGGTTTCAGTCTATTCTTCACTTTAGGCAAGGTTTTTCTCATTGAATCGGCAATTTCTTTTTTCTGGTTATTACCATGAGTCCTATACGCGCCTGTAACGAATTTGTGTTTGTACTCAATCAATGATGATTTACTATACATCGAATACATAGAATCTTTAATCTTAAAAATATATATCGAGTTTTGAAGTCTCAAAACTCCTGTAATGAAAGGTCACGGTATCAAAAAGGTATAAATATATATGGTATACTACCAAATCACATGGTGCAATCGGAGATTATTTTATTTCTACAATTCCTGCTTTCACGCCGTACGTTAAGTGCTGGAAATCTTAATAGAAAACAACAAAAAAAGGAAAAAACATCTTACAACAGGTGATATTTTTGTCAGCAATCTTCTTCTCCTTGGAGTCTACTGTAACTTCGTCAAGAAAAACAGCTGGCATGTTCTAAGAATGAAAAAAGAATAAGACTGAATTGATATTGATTTAATATGACAGCTATTCATGATTATATAGGTAGGCCTGATTTACATCCTCTGTCGCGAGAGACTTTCATTAACTTGTTTTCTGCTCGAAAAACATATTTAATAGTTTTTATGTTTGTTGCCAAAACGTGACGGGGTCTTTTGTGATTCGATTTCATATCAAATATCATATTATGAAAAAAAGCACTGTAGTTTGATAGTTCTTAATGTTATAATTAAATGTTCTCATCTCAATTCTAGCGCCATTTCTATAGAAATGCTGGCCTGCATTACCTCTTTTAATTAACATTATACCTCCTTGTTCATTTAGCTGGTATGGATATCATGTGTTGAATGTACCGTTAAAGTCTAACATGACCCCAAACTTGCTAGTAAATTACTATGAACTTGCCCAACATATTGAATTCAGTTGAAACTAAACCACGGATCTTCGTTCATTCCTCATCCCCATTTCTCTGCATTAATTGCCCCTTTTAATATTCCAATAACCCACCTCATATGGATATTCGCAGCGACCGTCTCTTGTAGGTGCCACCATCTTCGCCTTGGTAGGCGTCGGTGTCTTCTCCTGTCCTAGGAGCTTTCCCGCCCGATCATCAGCAGACAGATTCTGAGACTGAGAACCAAAGCGGTTTCCCACGGGTTCGTACGCGGGTTCTTCTCTGATGTCCCTGTAGTAGGGATTCGAGTTGGTTTGTCGTGTTGGGAAATCTTGAAGCTGGATGTCATCTTAAAAACAAAACAAACAGATGTTTCAGCAGATGAATATTCTTTAATTTAATATTAATACTATGGAATCTAGGGAAAAGAAAACGTTTCTCACCACTGACTGCAACAAATCGAGCATCGTCCTCTGGTGTCTTCTTAAGCCTCTTTCTGGCATCATGACATAAATATAAAACAGAGACGCATAACATAGATGAAATTAGACGTTTTGCTGTAGATTGACATGAAAATGGCACCAACAGAAGCAGAAACAGAACTGGAAAAACGGCAATGACACAGCAATGACACCAATAATACGAATGACTATAACTGCAACAACATCTTGAAATGTATTGACTCCATCTTGAAATGGGCTTATATCTTTGTAAATCTAACCTCATGAAGATAGCTCCAGGGACTGCGACTCCCAGGAGAATGACAATCAGCACGGGAACCAGCACGGCAACGACTGGGAAAACATAGTCATCCCTCACTGACAAAATGAAATAGAAAGCCCTCATTACCAGGTGTCGATTGAAAGAGCTTAATGCATCTGCTGCCATCAAAATAATCTTAGTCCAAGACGGGAGATGATATTATTCCTCTAATGCAGCCGGTCGTGACTCCTTGCAAGCGCCGTCAATTTATGCAAATGTGAGTATGTGAGGTTTGCTTTGCATTTCCAAGGTAGCGTTGCCAAAGTTGCCAAGAGTGGATTCTAATCATCTTGTTACTGTAGCGACATCAACTGCCACAAAGGCGCGCGCTTGTCCGGGCCCGTTTGATTGATGGAATGCAATCCAAGTCCAGTCTTAGACCGAGACTACTATCAAAATAGAAAGGCCGTTTCAGGGCGAAAATGTGTGGTTTTTCTGCATTGCTCAGTTTTATTATTGACAACAATTAGGTTAACCTATGGTTGAATCAATATGCTTGTGATCTGTATTCCAATTTTCTTTCTTTGGTATGCATGCATTGTGTACGATTAAGGCGGAGTGTTGACAAACTCGCCAATAGATACCAATCTTGCAATAACCGGCAAAAACGTATGTCATTTGGTTGAACGGTTCAATTTATACCATAATATTAATATGTCAACGTATTTACCTTTCACCCTCACTGGATCTCCCCACGTAACTGCAAACTCCTGTGAAAGTTCAAACAATAGACACGAAAGAAGATGTTGATTTCTTGAATACCCTTAATGTAATTTTTTTTAATCCTGTGTAAAGTCAATTTAACTTAATCATGCGATGTCTATCTCCTGTTTCCTTGACATGGAACGACTGATGATATTATATTCCCAGATGGATGGGATGCCGGTCTATCGCAGGTGCAACTCCCCAACTGATACCGTATACTTCTGGTAAGAGAAAAGCAGGTGGGTGTAAAGTGGCTTCCCCAAGGACACAACACGTGGTCATCAGCTCGATTTGAACTCCTTGCCCACTGATCATGAGTCACAATCTTGAACCCTGAGGCCACATAACCCCCTCCCACTACGTATTACATGTTAATTTCATTCTCCTCACCATATCTGAAATCCTGCTGACTGACCCCAGATAAATGTCATACTTGGTGTTGGGCTGTAAGGGCCGGTTGTAGAATGTACCGTACGTGTTCCCGTCACCCACGGTGAACGTTTCAGTAAGGTTCTCTTTCATCAATTCCCCTGCTACATAGTCCGGCACGAAGTCGTTCTTAGATGGTGTGGTGTCTGCCTCGATATTTGAATGCACTTGTTTCACGCCAATTTGGATGCCTCTACACAAAACCGAAACGCAAAGGTAATAAAGGGTTTATAATGATACGGCGATTTGTGAATCGGAGTCTAGTAGATTATAATAAGATCGATCAGCAAAAAAAAACAGCCTCCAAGATGGCCGATTTGCATATTTCAGGTGAATGATTTTTTAAAGGCACCTCACTAATACAACATCACCATAAAGGCACCTCACTAATACAACATCACCATAAAGGCACCTTACTAATACAACATCACCATAAAGGCACCTTACTCATACAACATCACCATTGTTGCCCCCCTTTTTTGTATTATAGAAATGCAATGAACAAAATGTCGTTTTGTAGGAGACATGCAAATTTTTCGCAAGATAGTGAGAGCTCAAACTTCAAGTAGGTGTAACATCGTCATCGACGGCGTTTTGGGTAAAGGCTGCGAAAGAATTCAAAATTCCACTTGAAACCGATGTTCTGCCCATGTCAACTGCTTGCAACAGTGGTTGGTGGCTCATACTGGTATATGTTTGATTCAACCGGTATAAATGTGTAAATTCAAGTAGTTTTAAACTATTAAAAGCCAGTTGAACAAACCATTTCTGAACTATTCATTGTAATTTGAGTCAACATGAACCAGTTGAAACCAGTTACCATGGCAGGTAAGTCAGTGGCGGTTTTACGCCCCCCCCCCCCTCCATAAAAAAAATATTAGTCTAGCCCCCCCCCCAAAAAAAAAGAATGAAAAAATCCATTAAAAAAGAATGCACTAGCAAAGTGTAAGAATCTGACGTACATGCAAACGGTCTCCCCCTAAATAAATAGTCGTGAGAAGGTTGCATTTGTACACTTTCCGTTAATATAGTGTGCCTGATTGTAGGATTTTATCAGCGCTCCCCATTGAAAATATGGCACAAATTGATGAAAGCCACAAAAATGTCTCAGGAATTATACCAATAATTATAAAGTGTACTCTTTCCAGGGTATACTTACGTTACGTACTGAGATGTGCGTGGTAGATCCACATTAATTGTAACTGTAGAATTGGTTGACTTTGAGGGATCAGTATTTGGCGGGGGAGGGGTGTCCATTTCTGTACATAGCCACGACACAATACAAATACTTATTATCGGTAAAACAACAAGTGGAGTAAATTGTACATTCTCATGGTATACTTTTTATATTATAATGTGGCTTTTGAGGAAAATGTTAACAGCGCACAATTAATCTTTGTTGATTTCATTTGAGAATGATTCGGTAAATACGAAAACAAATTGTATATAGGTAACTATTTGTATGATGAACTTTTCGGACTTTAACCGACGTAGTTTACTAAACACTGCTGTCTGCACTAGTAAGCAGGAGTATGGATGGGTTCGAGTCCCTCCCAAGTAAGCTTGTGTTTGTTTTTACTCATGACCCTTAAGGCAGCATAGGGTATGCAGTTGGTATGAAATCACGTCAGGGAAGGGCGTGACACACCTGTTTCAACCGATGTGAAAGCTTCGATCTTTGCCATCGTCCCAACTCCATGATTGTTCACACCAGCTACCAGAAATTCGTATTTTGTTGATGGTTCTAGAACACTTGTGCTGTACAGCTTGGAGGATGCTAGTACGGTGACTTGCTTGTAAGTGGTATCGGGTGTGAAACCGAGTTTGTATGGCCTTTGCAGTACCCTGAGCCTTATCTAAAATTGAATTTGAAATACAATAATGAAAAATCGATGTATTTAATGCATTCTTAAGCTTTAAATACAGAAAACTGTGTTGGAATATAAATCCTTGCACACCACATACAGCAAATTTGGCTTTTGTTGCATCTTGAGTTTGTTCGTGGTTCAAGAGGAGTTTCTTTTTACACATTGTGCAGTGAGTAAAAACTATATGGACGTTTACGCATAGTTCGAAAGGATAAAACCTGATTTCGAAATCAAACAGTTTCACAGTGCTTTCAGGATTTGTCATTTCGAAAAATCGATTGATTGAAGTAAAATAGAAAGTTAACATTTCCATGCAACAACGGTGAGGAGTGCTGTAATGACGTATTGAATACATCACCTGGTATGTTATAATTTGCCCGTGTCTGTAGCCGCAAGGTATATCTTCCCACGTGAATGCGATCTTGTGCCGCATCCTCAACGTAACTTTGATAGTTGTCGGACCTTCTGATGGTGCTAAAGAAATGAAATAAGTCAACAGGAATTATTTTTAGTGTTATAATTCATAACATTTATTTGACAATAAAACTGTTCTGCAATTTTATTTGTTTGTTTGTGTGTGTATGACGTGTTTGACGAGAGGGTACTTGTGGGGGTACTTAAACAAAGAGGAACAACGATGCCCCACAAGTCGGGTTTTCGTGTAAGACGTGCCCACTAAGGGTAATTCTAAAAAAGAAAGAGGTAAAAAGAGAACAATGCAAGTACCCCATATACACCATCCGTGTGTGTGTTATGTTGTTATCCTTTATATTCGAGGACTTGGAACAATGGGTTCCCTGTGATAATAATAACCAGAGGATCTGAGCCAAGTCCTCAAGTATTCGTGTACAAACCCTTATGGCACACGTCGAGAAAAACTTGCTGTTCTTTGTATCGTATTTTTAGTTTTTTGTGTGTTACCTTTATCAGAGTTTGTGTTCGTGACAACGTGTCTCGTCTCACCGTCATCACCCGCTACGTTCCATGTCCTTACGTACACTTTATAGGTAGAGTAGGCCTGGAGACCAGCGATGGTTGTCGATGTTGATGTCTGGTTAGCGGCAAATATGCGTCTGGGATGCGCAATGGGATCGCAGAGGTCACTGGAGATTAACTCGTACTCGAGGATGAAGTACAAAGCGCAGTTATTGTTTTGACTGGTATCCGGCAGGGACCACGCTACATGGATAGATGGGGAGCTAGCGAGAGCAGTTGCACCAAGAGCATTAACAGGTCCGTGAGCTGGATAATTCGACAAAAAATAGACTCTTTACAAATCCATTTGGTAAAAACATTTTGCGGTAATGATTGTTAACGAGAGAGTACACGCAGTCGTATTTTACCATTACGTTTGAGGACAGGGCATTGTCTTTCCCTTTGTTCCTTTAATATAACGCTCTCCCATAGACTAAGCTTAAGCACACTGACTTTCGTTCAAGGGCCGTTTTTAACAAAAGGTGTTACGTTCGAGGACAACAAAGAATATGCTGTTCTCTCTTTGTGTATCTGTCATCGGGACGTATGCAACGCAAGGCCACGTGAATCCAGCGAGATGAATACATTTTACATTTTTCTAAGTCTTCCATTTTCGAAGTAAAATCTTTGTTTCCATTGTCAGGCTTCACAGCGCGCGCCCTCTGTAGTTCGCGCATGAAGGATTAATTAACTACATTGTGTGACTACCATTGAAGCAACGATCGTAAAGCAACAAGCATTTTTGATGACTAACACTACAATTTTACAAGACTAATGAAATAAAACAACAGTAAACTGATAGTGTTTGGCTGATATGATATATCATGAATTCGTAGACAATGATCATTGAGTGAATCACCTTTTGCTGCGGTAGTAACACTAATCACATTGCTGTATGGCCCCTCGCCGTTCGTTCCTACGGCTTGAACTTGAAAATTAAACTCTGTGCAGGAGGAGATTTCGTTAATAACTACAGATCTGGAAGTTATTGTCTGGGTAAGTGAGCTACCACCCGACGCAGGTACCAATCTGTAATTGTATTCTAGTATCTGGCCGCCTCTGTTACCACATGGTACCTCATCCCAGGCGAAGTCCAGGCTATTTGTGAAGATCCCGGTGCATGTTGCATGCGATGGAGGAGCTGTAGGGGCTAAAACAATACAAAAAAGTGACAGGAAAACGAAATCGTATTTATGGACAAAACCTAAAATTGGCCAACATTGGTAAAATATCAACCTGTTGATCAAAAAGCGCAGTTCTTTGAGTTTAAGGCGATGTGAGCCTAATGTAGGCATACACTGAGAAATCACCTTTTCTGGGGTTGGATGCTTTGATGACTACCTGCTGGTTATTTAATTTATTCAGTATAGTGGTGCCTCCAACAATTATATAACCATGTGTTTATACAAAAATGTTACACTCTTTCGTTTGTTACGTTATTATTGATTCTGAGCATGCGTGCACTTTTATCGCAAGGGCAGGCAAAAAAAATGTGATCACTGTTTTACTTTATCGCAGCTAGCTTCCGCGATGCCTCTCTAACCACATGTACCTGGAGAAGAGCGTGTAGTTGTAGTATCACATCGCTCCACACTGTATTCTTCTTTGTTCCACGTCTTGACACACACTTCGTAGGTGGAGTATCCGTCTAAACCAGTGATCGTTGTGGAAACGGTCGTCTGGTTTGCGGCGACTAATGGTTGGGATTGGTCGATGGATTGGCACTGGTCTCTGACGGTTAATCTGTACTCGACGATGTAGCGGAGGGGGCAGCGGTTCCCGATGGTATCCGGTGGGGACCACGTGACTCGAATAGAAGGGGAGTCCGTCAAGGCTATTGCATCAACATTACTGACTGGCCCATGAGCTTAGGAGAGTAAAGACAAGAAAAGTATCGTGCATGGGAATTTCAGGATGTTCAAGTTGTTTGGTGTAATTTAGGCAGCACAACAGCAACAGCATCCGCAGAGCGTAAGCAAATCACATCAGTATAAGAAACATCTTACACTTGCCTCGAGTGACGAACATACACAAGAGTAAGAGCCTGTTCCCTTGATCGACTGATGATTACCCCCCCCCCCCATAAGGCTGAACTCCACCTTTCCATGGTACGCATTTATTCGCCAAATACCAAAATATAACCCTTCTCGCTCGCAGTCGTACCACCGCTGTATCTAATAAGGATGCGGTAAAACGAATGTAAAGTTCACATTACATGAAAAGCTGCAAATTCTAAGTTCCTATTCACCTTCTGCTGTGGTTGTAACTTGTATCCAACTACTGTACGGTCCGGGTACAGTGGAGGCGCTGCCACGCGCGGCAACTTTAAATTGATACTCGGTACACGATGGTAACCCTGTGAAGGATACGGATCTGGCTGACAGGGTTTGGATTTCCGTATCCCCATCTGACATGCGTCTCAGTTCGTATTTATATTGAGGAATATCACCTCGTCTGCTTCCACATGACACTTCATCCCACGACAAGCTCACACGATTGGAGTAGATTCCGGTGGGTCTAATATTCGCAGGTGGAGCATTAGGGGCTAAAACAATCAATTAAAACAAGACAAGGTAAGTCTAGTAAAGCTGGTCCCAGAGCACACACGTTTTATTAAACTGATTCACTGAAAGTCTTTGCATGCATCTAATAGAAATTTCGCCCATAGACCACTCCGGGCACGTTATCAATTCTATAACGAAGACCCCCTTCAGCGACGAAAGCATTGTGCAAGCTATTGCTCAGATAATCATCCACGGTTCCTGCTATACGATAGCACTGCCCGGCTCTCTTCAACATCCAACAAGCAGACTATTTCAAAAGTAACAGCTACAGTCAGTGTGAGTCAGTACAGAGAGGACTATGCGTGTAGCTAGACGAGCCCCCTTCTATGGCGAGCATTGTGTCAGCTTCTGTGAAAAGCTACAGCCCCATGACGGATTGTCTGAAAAATAGCTAACTCAGTGCTATCGACAGTGAATGGGGCCTCCGTGATAGAAGTGAAAGCGTGCCCGAATTGGCCCCCTTTATGGACCAGCAAAGTTGTATACGTTCTATAATGTGCTCAATACATAACGAATACCAATTTCACATGGGTATGCTATGCAGGCGGGATTGGGCCTTTAGCGGGATGGTAAGCAGAGGTAGTTGCAACTCTGGGTGGTTTTTTTGGTAATCCTTACAAGCCTACTGCTTGGTTAAAATAATGGTGGTCCTTGAAGGCTACAGACGTCTGTAGTTAATATTTTGCAAAACATTATTTTTTATTTTGTCAAAACAACTATTTCTAAATTGTGTATTGGCCTATTCGACAAATTCAGACATATTCTAACAGCTACAAATGCCATTCTTTGTTGGTCTGATACCTGCTTTGGGAGTTATGATTTGAACTTGGTTGCTAGAGGTTCCTAGACCGGCTGAGTTCCTCGCCCTCACGCGTATATTATAGGTGGAGTAGAAGTGCAGTGACGATACGGCTACTGACAGCAGATAACTGGTACCCGCCGTCGTAGCTACAGTTGCGAAGTTTTCGTTACTTCGATAATCGCACTGATCACGGTTGATCAGTCGAAACTGCAGGGAGTAATCAATGACTGCACACGAGGAACTGGCTGGATTCCAATTGATTCGTCCTGATGATCCTGAACCATCAATTCTGAGAGAAGTCACTGCAGACGGAACTGAAAAGGGGTGTGCCAAGTATTCGAAAGAAATGGTAGGCAATGTATGTATGCATGAACACTAAACAAGGTAACAAAAAAGGTAAGCTTAAAGAACAATCCTAATAACAACAGTAAAACAACAACCGGGAATACAAACAGCAAAACAATTCAATGCAGTAATAACAATACTGTGGCAAAACACAAATAAGCATTAAATCCAAAAAGGTAACAAATAATTATTCCCTTGCCAATGGCAAGATGAAAATGTCAATAGAAATATGTTTGATGGGACATAAAGGCGCAGTTAAATTGGACACAGATGAGCGTTTCTACATTTACCGAGCCCTCTAAAAAGGAAACGCATGTTCAAAAGCTTTTTGGCAAATTATTTTACAGAGTTCTCACCTAATTCGTCTGTCAATGTTGATTTGGACGGTAATGGACACCATTTGCCAAAACAAAAACCGAGTATTGTTCCTGATTCCAGGAATAACAATACAATAAATGTGACGCAAATTATGAAAACAAAATAACCTGTCGAAATTTCAGCTCAGTAATAAACTTTTTGAGAAAACTGTGAAAATGCATTTTCATTTTTCTTGACACCAGGTTTCTGTTAGATGCTCTACCTTCCAAAATGTGCAATAATACGTTTCGAATCGGATCCTCTTATGATACGATCCCGGTTTATCGTATTGGAAAATATGAAATGGTTTGGTCCTAACCATCGCAAGGACATTATGGTAATTCCTTATTCCTCAAATTGGCAGCACACCAAGCGCAATACTGTCACAGGACGCCTAATCCTTGTATTTGTTTACAATTGAGTAAGGCAATTCTATATTATTTTTTTATTTTTGTTTTTGAATGTTTGCAAATGTACACATAATCTTTACTGCATCATACCTGAACAATCACTACCATTAAACTTTTTTGTCCTGATCGTTACAGAGTTGTCTTTTTTATGGCGCAGACCTGTGCACAAAATTATATAAAAAAAAAGCTTATGTTGAATTGTGCAAATACATAAAAGCCGTTATTTTTACCTTACCGACTTTTTGGGGGCATAAATCAATAATCTGCTATGTCACAGCCGTAGTATTTGAACTAAAAGAAACTGCTGAACGAAACGAAAATTCGTGGGTTTTTTTTGTAAGTACAGAATGCGTTAATATGCCATTTAAGTCAAACACCATGGGCTTCCCGCGCGAATAAGAGACGGACGTGTTTTTGTACCACTTTCGAGAGCCCTGTGTTCAAATATCTCCCCCTGTGGTCTCCCCTAACTCTCTCTTTCTTTCCGTTAAGGGGGTTCTTGTGAACGGTGCCCATTTCATTTCTACTGGACTCTTTAGCTTACGCAGTAATCACAATGTTTTTTTCCTCCTCACACCAATAGAATGTTCAATTCCGCTCGAGTACAAATCTTACTTTGATAAAGGGGATATTTATTTCTCGATTGTAGTTGGTTACTTATGACCTCAGCGTAGAGTAAACCCAATCAAAAGTTACTTTAAGATTAAAGAAAACCTCAATTTCAAATCTTGAGCCTGCAGGCTCATATACATGTAACTTACATGAGAACGAGAAGATCATGATGAGGATGACACCAAAGCCCACCAGCCTCGCTTTGAATCCACAGAATCTCTCCAGATGACGACTACCCATTATGGCCGTCGCTCTATTCATCAAATTAATTAAAAAAAGAATCGGACTAGGAAAGTGGAATTGGAGAATGCAAGTCAAATAAAGCTTGTCCTAGAGCGCACACCATTCTATTCAATTGATTTAAAACGCCAATTCACTGAAAAGTCTCTCATGCATGTGGTATTCAGAAAGGGCCGGTTTAGTCCATTCATTTTGTGTTAGCACACGCACGCTTACATAGGCATAGAAGTGGGGTACTTCCTTTTTTCTCGTGTACTAAAATTTTGCAACGTCGCACACTAATGTCAAAATGCTCTTATTTTACCCAGAGTTAATGTCCTGGGCTGAAATTCGGACTTAATATCCCTTTTCTAAAACTCTTCCATTTGCGACATATCAACCCACCTTGGAAATTCCACAAGTCAGTGGGCATTCCTTGTGGGGTACCTCCTATTGTTCCGGTACTGCGTACACCACCATCATTTCCTCAAAAACAAATTGGTTAAAGTGGTCAGAAATTGCCTCAGATCGCACCAGTACCACAGCGCATCTAGAATCCAAAAAAAATTCGGGGCCCTTGAGCGGACCCCAAACCCCAAGCCGTAATTTTGGACCTACTTTTTTTGGGACCAAATTTTTTTTAGGGGGGGGGGCAATAAAAGTGTTTTTCTGGATCCGCCTATATACATGCAGGTAGGCATTCAGGCATGGAAGCATCCCAGTAATGGCCACCACAACCGTCACCATAATTTCAAACTGGGATTGGTTTGAACTTGTTCGCCTATTTTAATGCATAGAATGCAAGGGTTTGTATCACAGCCACGTATGATCGAACCGTTTGTGCATTCTTTGTTGTAACTTAACTTAAACAAAGAACACCCTCGGAGATACGTAGCGTGCGTTTTATGTAGTTGCATATAGCATAAGGCCCCCCCCCCCCCAAAAAAGGCTGTCTCTGGTCAGCGCACGCGTCGATTTTAATCATGCGCGTCAATCTTTTTTTTCCAAAATGTTCCGCGGTAACTCCAACAGCGCCCTCTATTGCCGCACCTCCTCAATTATTTTTTTACCAAACAGCACCAAGGAATGGGAAATCGCACCAAGGCAAATGATCGAGGGCACCAAGGCAAATTATGAAGGACACCAATGTACATGAGGACACCAAAAAAAGCAAAATAGTACCCCACCTTGTCTGATCTGTACAATCCAAGCTTGAAAAAAAAAGCCGCGTCGCCGCATCAATTCCGGAACTTTGGTCTGACAAGAGACCGAGTATTTTTTTTTTTGGCCTAATCGGACTTCGTTCTGTTGACAATATTCGTATACGATCGGTGCACTGTGTTTTATAAAGGTAAACACTTATGACAATGATAATGATAGACGACATGGGCATAAAGGGGACATAGCGGTATTTGGGTCTACTTTAAAACAAGTATTTGTCCACCCTTAGCACTCGGAGAATGTTGGCAAACAACCAATGATACCATTATACTGATCACTAATATTCATATAATAAATGTACACATAACCCATGATGACCCATTGTGTCCATGCCCGTATTAAACGTCTGAGGCAAACATTAAGTCTATCTGGAATTTAAAACAGTGAGCGTTTTGTTCTATAAACTGGTAAAAAGAATCTTCAAGAAATAACATTCGTCCAACCCTCGAATTGTTTTTCTTGTATTTCACAGCAATATTGCGTTGTCAGTTCCGACAAAAGATCCTTTTTCTAACCTGCCGAATGAGATGAAGGTTCTCGTACTTCAACATCTTTCAGCTGAGGACCTGTGTCACGTGGCATTTGTTATGGCATTAGTCGGATCACATGACAACAGTGCACCGTAGTTTTAGCCCAGCCATCCCTGTGTTCCATGCGTTCTGGAGTATTTAATAAAGCAGCACTGCTCGTTACTGTTACATGCTTGTGTCAATCCACATATTAAACAGCATTATGTAATCGATCATGGAGAGAAGCCACAAATGACGATGCTCTATGGCGCTCTCTTTGCCGAGAGAAGCGATGGGAGAAGTTTGATGCAGTCGTTGGTCTTTGTAAAGAACCCCCGTTCATACCTTCATCACCTCAACATGGCGGGGATGGGGGCGTTGGTGACGGTGTCACCTTTGCCTTTGATTCGGCTGTAGTGTCACTGATTCAAACTGGCCAGGGTTGGTGAATACATGCGGATGGAAGGAGATATACATGAAGGCACGACATCTTGAAGGAAATTGGAAAAACAATCGTTACCACGTTGTCTCGTTCCAGTTTGAGTTAGCTGGCTACAAGAGGCACTTTTCGTATACCAGCTCGGAACCTGATGATTTTAGAGTACATATAGCCTAGCTGGTGAAGGGAATAGTCTTGCCGGTGCTCTCTCAAATGATACTTTGCATATCTGGGATACCAGCGGAAAACGTAGTCATCTCATCGAAGTGGGAATAAGTGAAGGAAATAAGGCGTTGAAAATGAAGAATGGCATTATAGCTGCAGGATGTCTTGATGGTACAATTCGTACCTACTGCGCCCAGACTGGAGAGCAGCTGCAAGTCATGTCGGGGCCAGGCGCGGTTCTAGAACCAATATTTTGGGGGGGGCTAGCAGGGTGGATCCAGAATTTTTTTCAGGGAGGCGTGCTGAAATGTAGACCGGTTATTTTCTCCAGACACTTAGGCCTCCGAAAATCAATATGCCATATTTTCAATGAGGACCGCCAATAAAATCCTAAAATCATTCACACTATATCAACTAATGCAACCTTGTCACGACTATTTCTTTAGGGGGAGACCGTTCGCATGTACATCACAATCCTTCTTTTGGCTAATGCAATTTCTTTTTACGGAATTTATTTTTTGGGGGGGGCTAGACAAAATTTGGGGGGGGGGGGCTAAAGCCCCCCCCCCCCCTAGCCCCCCCCCCCCCCCCCCCCCCCCGTAGAACCGCGCCTGGTCGGGGCATCGTCTGGCCGTGTCTTGTCTCTACTTCGATGGTGACACCATTGTTAGTATTGCAGGGGACTGGCACTTTAATAGGGAGGTACGCGCTGACAATGATATACGGGTCTGGAATGCTGTAGACGGTACATCTCGTTTCGTCTTTGAGAGCACCTCTGATGACACCCGACTGGTTTACGTGGACTATCTTGACAAGACAGTTGCAGGTGCTTACAGCGACCGTAAGATTCGATTATGGGATGCACGGAGTGGTGTCTGTAAGCAGACAATTGTCAGTGATGCCAATGACATGATTTCCTGTCACCTTGGGGACGGCATCGTGATTAGTGCCCATCGTGGAAACGTCATGAAGATATGGACTGTTGAATCGGGGGAATGCATCAGACACTTTGACGTGCCTGGTGTACACTTTGAAGATTGGGACCCAAGCGATTCATCATCGATCTTTGATTACATCGGCGAATTGCTCCTTGCCACATCGGAGTTCTCAAATATTAGATTATTCAATCTCGACGGCAAATTCATCAGAGGCACAAAGTCGTACGATGCCCGAGAGCCCACCCTTGGGATCCGTTGCCTTGGCAATAAGTTCATTGCGTCTGAAGAGTGTAGTGTTGGAGGCCCGATGTACCTGTGGAACATTGACAACCCTGATGTGGTTTCCAGTTGATCAAACAGTTAAAATGCGGCATGTATGACGATGAGGTCAATGTTGCCTACTCAGCAGCGTGGATGAGCGAGACCAAACTTGCATTCGTCCGGTATGTTGAGATGGATAAGGAGGGGTATGAGAACAAAATCTAAATACCTCCTCGCCACAACGCAGGAGTAAAATGTGAGATTGTTCAATCTCGACGGCAGATTCATTGGAAACACTAACTCGTACGATGATGAGGAGTACGCTCTTGAGATCCGTTGTGTCCTTGGAAATAAGTTTATTGCGGCTGATACGGTTTCTGAATGTCCGATGTACGTGTGGAGCATTGACGACCCTGAGGATGGTGTAGTATTCATAGCCATTCATTTTGTATCCAAGGCATTCCATTACATGCAAGATCACAATGTGTCATTCTGTGCTACTAGGCGCTCCATAGATAAGGTCACTGGAAAGGTCAAATAAAGCTTGCTTGCGTTGCACCACAATCAGTCTACCTCGATCAGTCCAACAAAACTTCCAAGTTATACACTTGAAATATCACAGATGGTTTAGGTTCTTCTCCACTGTTGAGTTGAAATGTGGCTTGTATGGCAATAACGTCCATGCTCTCTATAACCCAGTGTGGATAAACAAGACCAAACTTGCGTACATTCGGTGGGATGAGTTCGATAAGGAGGAGTACGTGAACCTATTCCGAATGCCAAAGATCGTAGTTTACCATTATTGGTGAAGAGGTACATGGCAAGGATCGTCACTTTAGGGACTATTGGGCCACGAGACGTACACAGTATTTATCAATGCGTTTAGCGACGTCATCCTCTTTATCATCCTAGAGAAAAAGACGCTGACGGGTCGTCCTTTTGCTTGTTCGACCTTTCTGTAAGTCAGGAATGTTATACATATACGATGAATTTGATTCTCATCAGGGCTTCAATTCGAGTTGAAGAAATCATTCAAACTTGCATGCAGTGGAGGTTCGTTCAATTTAAACTTGGAAGAGATAAAACCATGAAAATCTTAGAACCAAAACTAGTGGATTTTTGGCTAATATTTTGCTTGTACAATGTATGTGTTTCTTTGCAATATTCCTTTAATATCGTTTCTCAGGTTTTGTCAAATTTGTAAATTTGTATTTCCTTCATTTGAAAACTGTAATCATTTAATATAATTTGTGTACTCAGCCTTTTTTTGCTTCTCCTCCCTCCCCCCCCCCCCCCCGTGAGTTTACTGAATTTTCAACTCGCCCATAATGAAGTTGTCATTTCTGTTGAGATAGTCAATGGAGGTGAAATAAAGGAGGCTTGTAAGACGGCGAGTGTGTGGACAGCACGGCAAGCATGGAACCTTTATTCTAGAACTTATCTGGGGTCAACTCCCCGGCGCGCATGCGCATACCTAGATACATGATATGCATATCACTACATCCCCCCCTTTTTGAAATATATAAACAAAAATAAGGTAGTTTAATACTCAAGTTGTATTATCGTTCAGTCCTTTCACAGTCGACTATCTCCTGGTAAGGTAGATATGAGAAAGGTAGATAAAGAATGCGGAGATGTATAATAATGTTCAAACGTGGTTTCCTCATTTCTAGTAGTCAAAACATATCTATTTTACATTGTATTGTGACTGTCCACTTAGACAACAAGAAAACTATAAACTTCTTTTTTTTTTTTTTTTTTTTTTTTTGGTAAACAACAAAACACTTGAAACACTTGTTTTAAACACTAACTCTATGAAACCCTTGTTCGAGTCTGTTAACTTTCAACACTGGAGTAACTAAGAACTTGGTTTTAGAGGTATCTGGCTGGCATTTTGGTTACACGACCAGATCTTGTAGTCTGTGGGGTTTGGAGAAAGGTACCGGTAGCCTTAGGTTTAGCTTTGGTTTGGCGAGATTTTTCCCCGTCAGTGGGTTTTCCATCCCGCTGTGCTTCTCTGTTTTGCTTGTTCTGGTCAGAACCTTGTCTCGGTGGGAATAGAACTCGCGGGGATTGTTCATCAAAATGAACGCGCTTAGCTTGCTTTGTTTGCCTGTGCGCCTCGCGCGGCTGAGGTTGCATTTCACGCAAATGTGATCGATTGCGCCTGAGAGTAGATCCATTTGGTGTTCTGACCTCATACGACCTAGGCTCTTTGCAAACTTTGGTTACTTCACCCGGAGTCCAAGACTTGTTCGGCTGGTCAAGAATACGGACTTTCTGTCCCACGTAGAGTGAAGGTAAGTCTGGGCCAGCATGTTTGTCATGATTGGCCTTCATTTCATCTCTGCGTGATGCCAGTCGGTCATTGACTTCCAGAGGTTTCTGGTAAGTCCCTGTAGGGTCCCTGCTGGGCAGTGTGGTGTGGGGCGGCCTTCCAAACAGTATTTCTGATGGAGAAGGTAAGTGAGCGTCGATTGGTGTTGCTCGGAGAAGAAGCATTGCCTTGTTGATGTCCTGTCCTGTTTCATGACACTTCTTCATCACGGACTTGACTGTCCTGACCGTTCGCTCTGCCATCCCATTCGATTGGGGGTACCTCGGTGATGAGGTAACATGGGTGACCGACCATTCCTCACACATATCTTGGTAAGCCTGCCCAACAAATTGTGGTCCGTTGTCGGAGACTATCTCCTTTGGTACACCGAAAAGGCTGAAGGTTGCTGCTGTTCGTTGAGCCACCGACGCACTGGATGTGTTGGACAGTTTGTGGATAACAGGGTATTTAGAGTGATAGTCCACAATGAGGAGATAGTTGTCTTTTCCCAACTCGAAGAGGTCTGTGCCCAGTTTCGTCCAAGGTGTGTTGGGTATCTCGTGAGGTTGGAGTGGTTCATTTCTTTGACGAGTCTGGTGTTCCTGGCATGCTTGACATGACTTGACGAGTTGAGTGATATTGTCATTGATGTTCGGCCAGTACACAGAATTACGGGCTAATCGTCTCGTCTTTTCGATGCCAAGATGACCAACGTGGAGTTGGGTGAGTATGTCCTGTCGCATAACCTCAGGAATCAGAACTTGACGGCCCTTGAATATCACGCCGCAGGACAGTCCCAGCTCATCTCTGAATGACCAGTATGGACGTAAGTCACGAGGCAAATCCTTGATTGAGTCAGGCCAACCGGTGTAGATGACCTTCTGTAGCTCTCTTAGAACAGGGTCTCGAGTTGTCTCGTGCTGAAGAGCATCTTGCTTAGCCTTCCCAAAGTGAACCAAATCAAGTTGTTGAGTGGTTGTGTGTTGCCTCGCACTAAGGGAATCAACTGCAATGTCGAGGGGTATGTCATCATGATCAGACGGATTGGGGAGCCTGCTCAAGGCATCAGCAATTATCATGGTGCTGCCTGGTTTGTACTCCAAACTGAATTGATAGCCTTGAATCTTGATCAACAGCCTCTGTAGACGGGGTGGAGCACTGGTGAGGGGCTTCTTCCATATGGTCACTAGTGGTTTGTGGTCTGTGAGTACATGGAATCTGGAACCGAAAAGGTAAGTGTGGAACTTGGTCACACCAAACACCAGGGCAAGAGTTTCCCGTTCAATGTTGGAGTAGTTTGACTGGGATGACGACAGACTTTTCGATGCATACGCAACAGGTTTGCCGTCTTGGATGAGGCACGCACCAAGGCCTTTTTGTGAAGCGTCAACCTCGAGGGTGGTTTCCATCTTGGGATCATAATACCGCAGACATGACTCGGCAGTGATGGAGTGCTGGAGTGCACGAAACGATGCCTGATGATCGTCCTGCCAGAGGAATGGAACATCTTTCCGGAGGAGGTCCCGCAAGGGGGCAGCCGTGTCTGCGCAGTTTGGAATGTGTGGAGACACAAAGTTGACGATACCGAGGAATCTCTGAAGATCCTCTTTGTCTTGGGGAGTCGGCATGGCATGTATGTCTGCAACTCTGTCCGGATCAGGGCGAACTCCACTGTCCGAGTAGATGGAACCGAAGAATTTTATCTGGTTCGACTTGATACGACACTTGGCACTGTTGAAGACAAGCCCTTCTCGCTTGGCAGTCTCCATGAGGTTGAAGAGGTTGGCATCATGCTCACTCTCTGTACGCCCAAATACTGCAATGTCATCTGCAATACATACGCAGCCTGGTACCTGGCTGACAATGTCGTCCATACATTGTTGAAAGATGTCCTGGCTCACTGACAAACCAAACGGGAGTCGGCGAAAACAATATCGGCCAAATGGTGTCCGAAACGTTGTCAATTCCTGGGATGCATCATCTAAGTGGATCGACCAGTAACCCGCCTTCGCATCAAGTTTGGAAAAGAACTTCGCTTGCGAAAACGCAGGATTTAACTCCTCAAGCGTTGGAACCTTGTGAGGACATCGCTTCAAGTTGTCGTTAAGTCGTTTTGGATCTAGGCAAAGTCGGAGCGAACCGTCTTTCTTGACACTTGTCGTGAGGGAGCTACACCAATCAGTGTGGTGAGTGACTCTGCGGATGACACCATCGTGCTCCATCTTGTCTATTTCCACCTGGAGTTTTGGCTTGAGATGCACGCTGCATTTCCTAGGTGGATCGATACTGGGTTGAGCATCTTTCTTGAGATGAAGATGGGCACGTGTCTTGAAGTTGCCTAGGCTGTCAAATTGCGTAGGGTACGCCTGCTTCAGATCTTGTACTCCTTTTACAGGGGTGACAAATCCGACAGGTGGTATGGCTGGTGGGGCTGGTCGAGGTCGTGATGTTGGGAGTCCGCTGGGTGAAGAAGATACGGTGTGTATCGTCACCAGCTGGAGCTTCTGGCTCATGGGTAGGCCAGCCACAGCAGGACCTGGTACATCTACGACGTAGAATTTTTCGCGAGACCACTCACTCTCCTTGTATCTGCACATAAGATGCAGATAGCCATAGCATGTGATGTTTGACCCGTTGTATGCAGTCAGTCTTGTGCCAGTGGGGGAGGCGAGCGATTTCCAACGGTCTCCGTATATCTGCTTCATGGTGCGGACTGGTAGGGTGTTAGCGCTCGCACCGGTGTCCACTTTGACCTTCAAGTGGTGCTTGCCAAGTCGATCTGGGCAGACAACATCAAGCGTTGTGAAGACTTCGGTATGTCCGTACTGATGTAGCGGAGTGACGCACATATCAGACACGGTGATAGAGTTGAATGTGTCCCCAGCTTGGCTTGAGACGTCATCGTCGTCGGTGAAGAAGTCATGTTGCCCCTGTTGGTCATTCTTGAGGTCGTTCACCTTGGAAGTACCCCGGCTCGGCGATCTATTGCGAGAGCTGCGCGGTTTTGAGTTGCTACGCGATTTTGAGTTGCTACGCGATTGTTGGCGGCGCCAGTTTGGCGATTTGCTGCGCTGTTGGCCTTGCCCAGTTCGCTTCGATTTTCTGCAAAGCTTGGCCCAGTGACCTTTGCTACCGCAGGCTTTGCACGTGTCATGGTACGCAGGACAGCTGCGGGGTTTGTGCGAAGGACCACAATTTTTGCAAGAGCGGCGTCCGCGTGCAGAATAGACAGTGTCTACAGATGCTGGTTCGTTCGCGGCTCTGCGTGCTGCAGTATCTGTAAGCGTTTCTAAATGTTGCTTGCCCGCTGCAACGGCTTCGTGCCTGCGTCCCTCTTCAAGCATCGCTGCAATTGGGTAGCCACGTGCTTTCTCGAGAAGGCTATTGCGTAACGCGTCTAAGGGAGTCGAGGCTATGACCAGTTCTACTACGCGTTCGTCTAGTTCTGCTTGCGCAAAATCACAATTCATCGCTTTTTCTCTACACCTGTTAACAAAATCGTCTAAGGTTTCATCGACTTTTTGTTTGTATCTCATTAACTCAAGCCTATGGATGCGGAAATTTACACTGATTTGCAACTGCTTCTCAAATAAAGCCCATAGCTTTTCTGGTTCTTCTTGATCTGCTTCGGACAAGCCAGATGCATTGAGGCGCTTAAGGCCCTCAGTGCCTACAGCTATTTTGATTTTCACCGCCTGTTTGTCGGCTTGATTTACTTCATGATCCTTCAGGCATAACGTAAATCTCTGTTTGAATAGCTTGAACTCCTCGGCAACATTCTTAACTGACCAATTCATTTCTGGATATTTAGCCATGGTTGAGTGCACAATGACAATGTAATATAATAATATGATAAACAACAATTGTGCGAAACCTTCTGTGCTAAAACTTGGGCTAAACACCACTGAGATGGCTAAACATGTAAGAACAATATTACATGGGAGCAACAATACACTGATTTGACTTGTCAATAACCAAACTCATACATGTAAACAATAGCAATGAACACTGGTCAATTAGGCTTTAAAAGTCTCAGTTCTGATGAGATGAAGTGGCTGAACAGTTCTTGTACGTCTTGCCTGGTACACTGTCCGTGATCGTCAGGGTAGTAGTCAGGTAGTAGGGCAGATGAAGTCGTCTGGCAAGATGCTGGAGGTCCCAGATTGGAGATGCACTGGGATTGTGAACAGGTCGGGCAGGTACAGTTACTGGAAAACGACGAGCTGAATTTCTCACGAATTGGATGCAGCGCAACTGGATGGGCGCTGATCGTGATCGTGTCGGTCGGCAAACTGGACGCACGGCAGAATTTGCAAAATTAGCCGATGATGAGGTCCAGGTTTCTGCTGCTTTTCATCCCGTCTTGTCCCTTGAAACAGTCGGGACCGTCGCCGCTGGATGCTGTAATGCCGGTCGGTAGATGACCAGTCTCCGGTAGAGCTCGATGGAGCCGTGGGGAATACAGCGATTATGGCGAACTCCTGAGTGCAGTGACGGGGCGAGCACGGTATAGGCGCTCACACTGTACGGTGAAACGTGTTGAATGTGCAGTGGGTATAGCACACGCACGTGAAATGTCGCGGCATGACCTCAGACAAATCTGGGTCGGTTGCACGTTTTCACACCACAATAAGCGGGAATCGGGAGGTCCAGATGCCCGAAAGTTGCCTCACTCGATGGTCAGATCATCACAGATGTCTATCTGGTTCTTTTTCACCGCTGCCACCATGTTGAGATAGTCAATGGAGGTGAAATAAAGGAGGCTTGTAAGACGGCGAGTGTGTGGACAGCACGGCAAGCATGGAACCTTTATTCTAGAACTTATCTGGGGTCAACTCCCCGGCGCGCATGCGCATACCTAGATACATGATATGCATATCACTACAATTTCCTGATGTAATACGAAACGTTTGTCGGCTTAGAATTCCTTGTGATTGTAATTGACTTATTCCAAAAGATATTGTCCATAGACAAAGCAAAATGAACGTCAATAAAAAAAAACATGAGCGGTGCAGATTTAGGTTGAAAAAATGACAAATCTCAAAAATTATAATTTGCCCTTAAATCTGAGTCTTCAGCAAGGAAATTACACAGGGAATCAGAGTTGGTCATTATAGTACCTCCAGACACGCCTGCTTGGCAGAGATATAATTCTACCTCCGTGGTCGCATCATGGGTCCGTTTTTCCCATTGTGGACATGACAATATTATTACATTATTCAATTAATATTAGAAAGACTTCCAGTTATTGGCAAAACTGGCTTTTAAATCATGGGCCACGTGACGTCCTGGTACACATAGTACCAATGTATACTCCCACAGGAATGTAAGCTGACTGCACACAGTGAAGGCTAGAAGGCTAGAATAGCAGTGCCAGCCCTTGGGAATGCACATGGCATCTATTACTCAACCAAATCATTAATTTGCATATTGCTATTTACATAAAGAAAGATTTAACTCTGCTATACACTCTATGGGTAGCCTCATTTCTGGATGGGGGAGAAATAAATTAATGCGCTGACAATGCAAATTAAACTTCAACCACCCCCCCCCCCCCATGTGACACTCTGTCGTCGGGGAACGGATCATACCATGAATATGAATGGCAGAAGGACAAGTGTGTGCCAAGTCTGAAATTGATCGGATTTACAAAAGTGCCAAAGTGTATGGTTAGAAACAAAGGAGTCTGAAAAAGAACAATAAATGGGGGAAAACGGGCAAAAAGGAAAAACAAAATTTTCACGAAAACCAGAGCTTTTTCGGAGTATAATCTCCGAAACAGCTAATTATGGTGTCAATTTGATTTTGAAACTGTGTGGATGTACTAATAATGGATTTTCCTACATGTGTGTCAAACAGTGGAATATGCGACAGCAGAGATTTTGGGCTAAATTCGGCCTGGTTGTGACTCGTGAAGTGTTGAAACGTCTCTTTTAGAGGTAATTCATAGTGGGTTAATTACATCACTAAACACGTTTCATGTAGGATTCATTTGTGCTTTTATTTGGATCTATATTTTGTTTAAACATTTCAGAGTGTCTAATAAAGCTGTTAGAACTTTTTTATCACCGTAAATGCAGGAAGACATTAGAAAGTTCTGGAGTTTAACAAAACAAAATTCAACTGCAGCTTGGAATCCGATAATGATGGTATCTAGGTGTCTCACTGTCGTCGTGCTGGCTGCAGACTTTAATCAATTCCAATTTCTATTATTCCGCTTGTCAGTCTCCCACTTTAAATTAACACTTGTCAGTTCTAGTATAGCTTACCGCCCTCTCCCCTTTGTTTAATTCTTCCCTTTTCTTTTCCTTGTTTTCCCCTTTGGCTTTTTTCTACCTATCATACGCCCCGCCCCCTATTTTTTTCTGAAAAAAAAAATTGATCTGGTTTTCCTGTGGTAAGATGGCTCTGTAGAGCTGCTCGCCACCTGTTCCATCTTGCCACTCACTGGCTTAATCCATATTCTGGCATAAACTCTTTTTCAACTATTTATTGAAATTGTGAATTCTCTGTATTTTTTAATCTTTGATTCTGTATGTCTTGTAATATTTTTGTATCAGCCAGTGGAGAAGTGTAATACAAAAAATAAATAAAATGAAAAAAAAATACAACGGACATATTGTGTATGTGACTGGATCCTAGTGGGCTTTCGTATGATTTGAAAATGGTAAATATTATCCTTGTGATTTTGTTGCATGAACCGGCCTGGTACTCTAATAAAATACGGTCATGATTGTAAGGGATGCCAATCTGTATTAATATTTACTGTTCGAGATTATGTTAACAGACTCGTAACGCGCAATAGCAGCTCTGACGGCATGCCTGATTTCGTCGGGTTGAGTCGCAATTAATTTTCCACATGTGCGGTCATTTTGAACATGATGCCCTATGGGGTGATTCCAGGTTATTTTGTTATATCTTAACTAGTCAGGGTCCGGCCCTACTTTCAAAAAATACCTATAACTGGTTGTAGGCTATATAGTTGCCACCTCACCCAAAATTGTTGGCTCAAATCAATAGTCTGTTTAAGTGGGAGGGAAACCGCGTGGAAATATGTAAATGTATGCAAATAAATGCTTACAAGGCAACGTCATGACCAAGCTCCAAAGTTAAAAAAAAAAAATCTAAGCACGTTGGTTTATCGCTCTAGTACCTCAAGTTACATACCCTTGCAGTGTAAACTGTCCCATTGTCATTAGCAAATTTCGTTTGTGCCCTAATAAAAACTTACCCTTAACAAATTGCTTATTTTCTGTATGGATTTTTATATACATCATACGTAGCCGTAACCATGAAATATTATACGCTAACGTTCTGCAGAGGCCTCCGTATAGAAGAGTTAAATTTGACCTTCGAACAACGCTACTTTGAACCTGTATTGTAGTGTTGGCTGTTTAACAAGCAAAAATCTCTGCACGTATCGTTTTTATTAAGCTTGTGCATGGAAAACTGTGTGCAGGACGTGGCGGTAAGTGGCATTATATAACATGGGATGACGGAAGCCTGCCTGTTGTATCACTAATCGCACTATCTTTACATGTCCATGTACATGTGCATGTCCATGTCCATGTACATGTGCATGTACGTAGACCTACTATTGCTATAACTTTAGGCTCTGCTACACTGTAGTACATGTATTATAGAAGGCAATGGTAATAGTATCGCTTGGATAACCATGGACGAACCGCGTAATTGTTATTCCCTAGGAGGGTTATAGGGGCAATGTCATGAATAATTCAGTAGTTTCGATGGGAAAATTATGTTTATCCATGAGAACGGACAATGACATCAACAGCATTCATGTTACTCAACTAGTTACATTAAAGCATTTTAAAGAACGGTTGTCGTCGAGCTACCACACAGTAGCTTAGTGGATAGCGAGATATGAGCTTATGGATACAAAGATCCCTGGTTCGAATCCACGTCGTCGCTGCTCATTTTCATCAGCTATTTTTCTTCTCCAAATTTTTCACTGAGATAATTTTAAATTAAGGGGAAAATAGAACGAGAACCTAAGTCTTGCAATGTTCAAAGGAAAAACTGAATTATTCATGACATTGCCCCTAACCCTCCTAGGGAAAAAAATACGCGGACGAACCGTTTGCCTTTTTATTCATCATTACTACATTAGAATATCAAAGAACAACAACCTGCAACGCATAAGTCTATTGCACTGCAGTCTCGGACTTTGCTTTGTTGACAGTATAGCCCCGAACAGTGCATAACGACCGTGCACTCCTTCCTTCGTGGTTTTATACAGGCATATGCCTATGCGAATGATGATGATGGACAACATAATGGGCCTATCAGAATTATTAAGGATACAGCGATAAAGATTTAGGCATATATCAAATTTTTTTTCTCGTTTAGCGCTCGAAGAACGTTGGCTTAACAAACCATACCACTAAATGCAGTTCACAATTAATTGATCACTTCTATCATCAACGAAAAATATAGAGAACATATAACGCACTGTTGCCCATTCAAATCATGTACTATCGTTGAACCAAAAAAACTGGGTGCACGAAGATTGGTTTGAATTTACGCCCCAAACATAAATTTTATCTGGCTTTAAAAATTGTAATTTTCTAGTTTGTCATATCAACCAGAATATATTGGTCAACTTCTGCAAATAACAAAAATGGTTTAATTCTCAACATTGTTTTTCCCTTTGTACTTCACAGCAATGGCGTTGTCAGTTCCGACAAAAGACCCTTTTTCTAACCTGCCGAATGAGTTGAAGGTTCTCGTACTTCAACATCTTTCAGCCAAAGACCTGTGTCACGTGGCATTATGTAATCGATCATGGAGAGAAGCCACCAATGACGATGCTCTATGGCGCCCTCTTTGCCGAGAGAAGCGATGGGAGAAGTTTGATGCAGTCGTTGATCTTTGTAAAGAACCCCCGTTCATACCTTCATCAACTCAACATGGCGGGGATGGGGGCGTTGGGGACAGTGTCACCTTTGCCTTTGATTCGGTTGTCACTGGTTCAAACTGGCCAGGGTTGGTGAATACATGCAGATGGAAGGAGATATACATGAAGGCACGACATCTTGAAGGTAATTGGAAGAACAATCGGTATCACGTTGTTTCGTTCGAGTTTGGCTCAGCTGGCTACAGTGGGTCCATGTATGAGAGCTCTGAACCTGAGTTGACAGTATGCAGCCTTGCTGGTGAAGGGAATAGTCTTGTCGGTGGTTTCTCGAATGATACTTTGCATATCTGGGATACCACCTGCGGAACACGTCGACATATCATCAAAGTGGGCATCAGTAAAGGCAAACAAGCACTGAAAATGAAGAATGGCATCATAGCTGCAGGATGCATGGATGGAGAGATTCGTACCTACTGCGCCCAGACTGGAGAGCAGCTGCAAGTCATGTCGGGGCATCGTTTGGAGGTGTTTCGTCTCTTCTTCGATGGTGACACTATCGTGAGTATTGCAGGGGAGTCAAACATGGATAGGGAGGTATGTGTTGACAGTGATATACGGGTCTGGAATGCCATAGAAGGTTCATCTCGTTTCGTCTTTGAGAGCACCTCCGATGATGTCCAACTTGTTTACGTGGACTATCTTGACAAGACAGTTGCAGGTGCTTACAGCGACCGTAAGATTCGCTTATGGGATGCACAGAGTGGTGTCTGTAAGCAGACAATTGTCAGTGATGCCAATGACATGATTTCCTGTCACCTTGGGGACGGCATCGTGATTAGTGCCAATTGGGGACACGTCATGGAAATATGGAATGTTGAATCCGGGGAGTGCATCAGACACTTTGACGTGCCTGGTGTGGACTTTGAGGATTACGACCGAGATGATAAATCTTGCTCAATTGAGTTCAACGGCGAATTCCTCCTCGCCACATCGGATTCCTCAAACGTCAGATTGTTCAGGCTCGACGGCAAATTCATTGGCGACATCAAAACGGCGTACCCTCGTGAATATTACTATCTCTGCATCCGTTGTGTCCTTTGCAATAAGTTTATTGCGTCTGATGAGGTTTCCGGAGGCTTGATGTACCTGTGGAGCATCGACAACCTTGATGGTTTACAGATGATCAAACGATTGAGAGAGTGCATGTATGACGATCAGGCTCCTGTTGACTATTCAGCAGCGTGGATGAACGAGACAAAACTTGCATTCGTTTATTATTTTGGATTGTATGATAACAAAGTACCAAAGATCGTTGTTCACCATTATTGGTGAAGCGTTACACGTGAAGGATAGTCACTTTAGGGACTATAGGGCCATGTACACAATAGACAAAGACACTACAAAGACACTATCCACCAGTTTAGTGACGTAATAGCCGAACGCTTCCTCTTGTCATTCCCTTGATCATCATAGAAGACAATGTCGCTGGCCGGATTGGTTCATGCATTCTAGAAATGAACAGCGCCCACAAAGCGTAATTTTGAGAAAGTCAATCCAAATGTATGTGTTCCACGCATTGTGCTGCCTCCCTTCAATGCTCCCGTCTGCGCATGCGCGCGCGCCTAATTGTCGGATTTAAGTTGAAGTGGTATATGTTCGGAAAATGTACTGGCTACGCTAATATATAAGTTAAGTTAGCGGGTTTCGTAAAATGTGTGTGTTAATAGTTACAAATTTGTAAACTCCATGGTTTTAAGGAACATTCAATTCACCCAATATTATTTTAATTTGTTATTTCCTGATAGAATATGGAGCAGGCGTATGATGTCATCAGACCTAGAGAGATGCACAGCATGACCTCACTGAGATCAAATCTTGCATTTACGTTTATTGTGGGAAAAACGGCTGTGCATACCCTCTATGCGAAACGTTTGTTCGTCTGTGGTTATAATAAGCCTTTTCGGAGTTCCAACTGCGCGCATTCGTAACCTGTGACAACGCACATTGTTTGTCTCAAATGCCCTTTGACAGTACCCTCAATGCACAAACAGCCTTTTTGTAAAGTCAGTGGCGCGATGATGTCAAAGGCCATTTGAGACAAATAATGCGCGTTGTCACGGGTTACGAATGCGCAGTTGGAACTCCGAAAAGGCTTATAGGCCTAGGCCTATTCCATACAAACTGACAAAATACTGTCAGAGAAGTCGGAGTGCGCATCGATAAAAATACAGAAGTATTGCATAGAGAAAAGAAGTTCACTTTAATTATAATTTCTATTCCCAGTGTGAGGAATAATACTAAAGGAATAAATGTAAATGCTCAATTATTAGTCTAGTATTCAGGCTGTCACTTAAGCTTCTTTCTCCGATTGGATTTGTAACTTGTAAGTAGCCGACTGCAGATTTGTAGAATAAAAAAAAATGGTTTGAAAAATAAACAGCAAAAACTGCTCTCTTTCAAGGATTGTATTGTGCCCAAACCTAATTTCAATATGAGTTGGCAGATTTTCAAAGAGTTGGTTTGCTGGTACAATATTTGTACAATATGACGTCGTTTGTTGCACTATGCTAACCACAGGAGAGCACCTGATTTTTTTGTTTAACTGGAGGATTGCAAAAATTACCCATCTACTGGGAACTCACACACTAACCGAATGAATAAGCGAGAATCATGTCCCGGGTGCTGACTTAGGAATTGTACCATAATTGAAAATATAAAACGGCGACTATATTTTCGGAAGCACTATAGCCTAAAAAAAATGTGCACATCTTTTCTCTGTTTTTTAATGTATGGTATTCCACTGGGCTAAAACTGTAACAAATTAGTTGGTAAGATTTTGTGGAATTTTCTTGCCTAAAAAAAATCACCCCTTCCTAATAAGCATATAGGATCATTTGCGTTACCCCCAAAATAAACCTATCGAATTATTTTTTTTTTAATTACTTGAATTAAAGATCGCACTGGTACCCATCTGCCTTGCTGTCATTTAGAAAAAATCAAGAAATGTAGGTGATTTCCAACGATCAGTCGATTGGCTCATCTTAGAAAAACGGAGTGCGATGGACGAAATCGTGTTTAGTGATTAAAAGATTGCGCATGATTTGTGGCTGTTTTATCGAAGCTGAAAGTTCAACTGGTTTGTTTTTAAACATTACTCTTTCGATTTTGAGTGGTTTTATTATAGGAAACGAACAAAATGCATGAAATGCAAATGATCCTTTTCATATACTTAAATATCTCCATGCTCTTCAAGGACAACTTGACTTACCTTCACAGGCTGCAGCAGATGAGCAGACTGACTCCCTATGTTGCACTCTCGGAAACGTATGCAAAACTGCAGTGGATTATTTAAACACGGAGCGAGTATGTATCCACTTACTCTATGTTGTCCGGGGACTTAAAAAGGAAGTAATAACACAAAAATTTGCGGAAGTCTATGAAAAATAAAGGAAAAACATTGAAATTCCCCCGGGACTGCCAACATAAATATTTGCACGTATAACTGAGTTTGTTCAAGTTTATAATATTAAAGGGAATGTATTACATCATTTGCTTTTGCTGCAATTTTCAGAAATAAAATGGATTTGGAGGATTAGTATGTTATAGCAAATATTGTTGCACTGACTTGTTTCACGTTTTGGGCTTGAAAATGCTGGAAAAACCAAGAAAACCAATCATGTTCTTGTAGTCTGGTTCCCTTACTCCATAAGATGAAACAGAGCAATTTATAAACTTTGGCGAATTGTAAGGTCAGAGGATCAGTCTAGCAGGCTTGTACTCCTTCAAAGGTGTGTAATCAATTGCAAAGAAAATACAAAATAACTAAAATTGGAAAATTAGGAGCAGTTTGGAAGAAAGCCAGTTTTCTCCAACACTGGTCGGCCGACCAGCGTTGGAAATATACAATTTGTTTTTTCAATGTCAGCACACTAGGAGCCACGATTTTACAGGATGCTTCAGATTGTCATTCCTGCCCCTGCCCTAGATATTTCGTGATAATGTGATCTTTTCGTTTTTTGATGTTTGCAAGTGTTGTATCTTCCCTTTAAAAAGTAACTTGTCACGCACATAGTTGGAATTGGACATACATTTTCACCGTCCTTCAGAGATGTTTGAATTAATTATGTACCAATGAAAATCTTTTTTCCAATAGAAAATATCGTTTGAACGAGGCCTCGAACGGAAAAAAAAAAATCTGCTCCCTTTTGTTATCCCCTTTAAAACTTGATGCCCCAGAAGTTTTACCCTATTTAATAGGGTAAAACTAGTATCATCAAAAACAAAACTGTCACCAAGACACCTTTGGACCAACGGCGTCCTCTTATTACGAAAAACAAAACAGAAACGTAATTCTTAACGATGGATAAGTTTGAAATCGGCGAATGAAGCTTCAAACGTTCTTCCCCGAACACAGCGCATAAGTGTTGCTCTGTGAGACTGTTACCCAAGCATATATGTATACAATTTAAAGAGGCTTATACAGTTTCAATTCGACACACATCATTTTTTATCTGTGGCATGTAAAATAAGTTCTGAATGTCGCATTTCTTCGCAAAGGATGTCAATGTCAGGCTACATATAACTGGTTTGTTTTGTATATGAATCACAGAGATTTGTGAGCAGAGCTTCGATTTTAAAAAGGGATGGGCTAGGATGTAGTCTGAGGTTCAGACAGTCTTGTGCAGAGCCACGGTCCAACGTCTGATAACATGCCCAATTTGGGGACCTCGCACGCCAGGCAATAAACCTTTATCATGCATGTCTTCATTTCAGTCATGATCCCTGTATCCAATAACAGTACTGATTGATAATATTTTGAGGGGGGGGGGGGGGGCAAAAGGAATCACACTATTTTTCCTTTCAGCCTCGCTTTGGTTACGTTGATTGGAATGGGAAAATATCGGAGTTGGTCGGAAGAGGGAGGGGAGCCACTCCAACCACCCCCTTGGATCCGCAGAGGACAATACAATGTATCAACTTAATAACTATTGCAGAGTGAATAAAGACACTAACTTCCTATTGCAGAGTGAATAAAGACACTTACTTCCGCGTAAATACGCGATGGTATTTCATCACGAGGCCTCGAGAATGCGTACAACGATCAAAACTAATCCGTCGATAATACTTAAGTAGAAAGAACCGGAAAAGCTGATATCGACTTTATACAAACTAAATTTGTTTTTATAGCGCTCAACTTCCCAATTAATTTTGTGAATGACTATCAGTCATTTGGAATAATGGAAGAAGGAAAATGCTTATGGTCATAGTTTGCGTGCAGTCGAAAAGAACATTGAGCTTCATACTTAAAGCTTCTTTTCGAGTTCTGTTTTGGCCAAAGGGTGCACATTAGAGACAAAGCGGGCTGGGACTTGTCCCCCCCCCCCCCCCCCCGCCCGCGAATATTTTATTTACACAATGGTACAGGGTACCAATTTTTCAGGTGACTTGAATCAAGGTTATAGGATTCGCTCGTACCCCCCGCCCTGCAAACAGGACGATGGGATACTCTGAGGTAGCACACCAGGAAATAAACTTCCATAGACCCCAATGGTAAATGCTCCCACTTAAGAAATTCGGGAAAAATACTCACAACTCTCCAATTGTGTTCGAGACACACATCAAATTAAAGCTGAAAATAGTCCTGAAGCCCATCGCCATTTTGAAAAACGATGCCTACACTCCATTGCAAAATAGAGCGCTTTTATAGGGTTAAAATTACATCCAAATTGCACAGAACAGCAAGCTCCCAGTCCTGTCCACGGCTTCCACCCATATTTTTTACAAACCCTCAAGTTCATGGCCCACAGCATGCTCAAATACTGAAGATTTTGAGGGCATGCAAATCGTGATTTGGCCGGCGTAGGCAATTTCGGACCGATTTACTGGTCTGCACCCCTGATGAGCTTCACAGAATCTTGTAAAGGAAGTGGCCTATGACCTATGTATAAAGCATCTGGCTGCAGCTGTTCAAGACCGCAGTTAGAAAATGTGCGCAAACGCTATCCGAAAACTTCCTATAGAAATGCACACGTTCCATACCGGATGTGATTTCTGTTTCATGCGGACACAATTTCGAGCGTCGCCGTAATGCAATCCGACCGTTCGTGATTCGAAATGGAGCCTGAGCAAGTGACGGGAATTGTAAATTTACAACACACAGGTAAGTTTTAAAGAATTTCCTACATTATTACGTTTTTCAACGAAAAAAACCTCTCTGAACTGGAATAAAACAGTAATGAATCATTCTTAACGGCCGTTTCAAACCTTGCAGAGTCATGACCGTGATGACGCGCAGGTCAGAGGTCACGCAAAATCCAACCAATCAGAGCGTGAATTCATAAGAGTATCCCAGCGTCCTGTTTGCAGGGCGGGGGGGGGGAGGTACGAGCGAAGGTTATAGGATTGTAGTAGCGGCGCTCTACAATCCTGTAAATGTTTACCTACGCGCGCGCGTATACTCTCTCCACATGTGTGAAAGTATATAATTTATGAATTGCAGGATTTGGTCGAGCACCGCCGTTGCCTAGTGTTTTAAGCCCGGTTCATACTTCACGCGAAAGCGAAAGCGAAGCGAAATTCGTGACGTCAACAATATATTTGAAGCGCGTCCACCATTGTTGACGACATGAAATTCGCTTCGCACATGCTTTCGAGTGAAGTATGAACCGGATGCTGGCCATTGATCAGAGGTCCCGAGTTCGATTCCTTGCCCTGCCCCTTCAGACTTTGCTTTTTTTTCTCAACAATTTAAAGTTTTATCTTAGAAACGTTATTTTTCAGTCGGATACTACTTGTATAGCAGCAATTTGCTCAGGCTTTGGAGGATTTTTTTTAAAAGGGAAATAAAGTCCGAAAGCCGTAGCAAGTTGAAAAATAGTAGCCTCCACTCAAGCCTGGTTATAAAAACCATGCTCCATAGGAAAGCGCACAAAGTACCACAGATAGTTGTGTAAAAAAAAATATATCGCCCCCGCCCTCCCCTCCTCCAGACGAGGAATCTGAATGTAAAACTCAGAAGGTTGTCTGGTTACATAAATTACCAGGCAGGATGCACAGGAGAAACTTTGTGTCACTTCCTATACCCGAACTATTTACACAAATGTGGGCTTCTGATGCAAAAAAGCAGTTTTTTTCCGCCCCCTTCTTGAGGATAAATTTAAATGTGTGCACTGCCAAAATGACAGACTTGTTGGAGTAGCTTTAGATTGTGAGCTTTCTCGTGATGGATTTGAAGCAAAAAAGACCCTCAGAATAAAGCTTGTTGTTCATTTCCCCCAAAGATTGCTTTTTGGGGGTTAATATTTTCAACTTGTTAAATTAAACTGTTTGCAGAGTTATCCCATTCAGTTTGTTGAGGCCTGCATTGTTTTCCTTCTCGACAAAAGTTACTGACCAAAGAGCGCCCTCTATGCCCTCGCTTGCAGGAGTTTGTTGCTGGTGTACGTAAACATGTTGGGGACAGTTTGGCTTTAAATACTTGAACCTATTAAGACGACTTTACCGAGGCAAAATGATGCGATGGTCAAGCATGATAAAACATTGCGGTCGACAGAGGAGCTTATGGTATTAAAGGTATAGTCCATCATTTTGTTCGTTTGAAGCAACAAAAGTGCTCAAAAATTAAAGAAGTGTACTGAACAACTAACCTGATGAAGTTTCAGCTCAGCTTCAGCTGTATATTCCGAGAAAAACAGCATTCTATGATCTCGATTTCAAATCAAAAGTTGCTGAATTATGTTTTGAATTGGCCTAACTTCAGCGTCCGATACACGTTCTCACTGAGCCGATTGCAGCTACGCCATGTCGCGCACCGATCCGACGAATTATAGCAACCGCGCGCGCTTCGCCGAATAACAAAACGAACTTCTAATTTAAATTTCCTACGGTGCGCCTTAAGAAGCACCGTTGGAAAGGCCTTTTTTCGTTGAATTCTTCAAAATGGCGGCTTGCCAGAAAGAATAATTTCACAGGGAGTTTAGTCCCCTTACTATCTTTCAACCAAGTATGTTTTTCAACAATAATTACGGCAGTCACTTTTTGGATAGCTGCAAATGATGGACTCTGGCTTTTACATTCTTGTGTAATCTCTGACAAATCTGACTATTAGGCAAACGGTTGCGGTAGCGGTGTAACGGTCTCACAATATCCGGTGTACTAACTTTTCCGATGGGGAAATTTTGCTTCAACACGCATGCGCGAAATTGCGCAGTAGTGTAAATTATCGGCAACTTTCAGGTGTTTATTTTTTTTGAGTTCTTTGCTAGGTCATTTTCTAGGTCTTTTACTGATACCAGTTCTCTGACTTTTGTCCCGAAATCATCAGCAAACAGCCAAACCGGACGATCATGGGCACTTTAATAGACAGTAGGTAGCGCTTTCAGAGCTGCACAACTGCCGACGTTTGCGCGAAATTCCAAAAAGGGCAGTCGTCCAAAGAGAGCACTCTTTACAAAATAGGGGGTAACCGCTGGTGAAGAAAATGGCACTTGAGAACGAAAGGGCACTCTTTAAACCTGCTGGCTATGCCATTGCTATAAAGGAAATGGGTCCTACCTTATGATTTTTTTATCTAATGGCTTCAGATGATCATACAATTTTAAATTAATAAATGGACACATTGCTTCCATCAATTGTTGAGTATCTGCTTAAACAAGCTAACAAATCTAAACTACACATTTGCAAACATCAGAATTAGTAAGCTCAGTATTAACTGTGTAAATAATAGTCGAGCCCGAGTCCGAGTCACTTGAGTCGAGTCCGAGTCCGAGTCTCGAGTTATTTGGTTCGAGTCCGAGTCACACGAAATTTTTCGCAAGTCCAAGTCCGAGTCCGGTTTACATTAACGAAATAGATGTGCATGTACATGGACACAATTACAAGTGACCGATACGTAAGTGATGTGCTGTCGCGGGAAATAGGGAAGGACTCAGTAATTGTCATAATTTGCAACAACAAATTGAAAGTACAGTTACATTTAAATATGTTTAAGGTTCTTTGGCATACTTAAACGTTTTTCACTTGAAACAAAAATTTAACCCAAAACACACGAATTATTTTTTAAATAGGCATTTTTTTCGGAAATAAAGTCAAGTCGAGTCAAGGAACTAGCGACTCAAGTCCTATAAAACTGCTACGACTTCTAATAAATGCACAATATTTTACGTAATTTAAAAATCCCTACAGTGGCGTATCCAGCAGGGGGGGGGGGGGGCAGGGGCGGGGGGCAGGGGGGCACTTTGCTTACCCCCCCCTCCCCCCCGGCGGATTTTTTTTGACATTTGTTTTTGTCAGCAATGATTTGAAGTGCATGTTTATAGAGTTCTTCTGACATCAATCCCACCAAAGAAAACCCACTCAACAACCATTACAATGCGCCGTGAAATTGTCCATATAATATAACATATAGTATGCATAGCAATGGTCAGTTTTGAAGAGCGCCCCCATTTGGAAGATGGGTACCAGCCCAGCCCCCCCCCCCCCCATACCCCCCCCCTGAATTCATAATACTTCATTAAAAGGATAACGAACATGTAGAACAGTTATCGTGATTATAAAGCTGTAACTGCGTATATAACTTCTAATGACTGCCTAATTTTTCACATAAATGTAACATAAAATTATTCACAATAGTTCAACACTGATTAATATTTTTAATCTAAATTCATGATCGATACGTGAGATATGTTTATCCGAGTATACATACACGTTTATCGTAAGCAGAAAAGATTCCTTTGATAGGATCCGATCCATGATAAGATTCAACACTCAAGAATAATAAACGGATCATAGCTAACAAGTTATATCAGATGTATCTAAATATCATGGCCTATCTATCTAAATCAAATCCTAAATCGTACCAATTTAAAGTAATAGAACATTTACAAAAAAATACGTGTACAAAATATACACGTATATTATTAATTAAACGTGTAAGCACAATTGTCTCATGGCAATAAAGTAGCATTATACAGAATTCGTATCATGGTTACATTTCATAAATCGTTTACTGCGTCCAACAGCGGTGCCATCTATAAGCAATGCATGTTTATACAGCTTAAACATTGCATAAAATCTCCAAGCAACGTGCTTTAATTTTATAGACATTAATGTAATATGTGAGCTATCTGGGCTACTGTTTTTATCAAACGACAGTAAAAAAAAGAAGATAATAAATGCACTAAATGTTGTTTTCAGGTATTTCAGCACATACTTTAATATTCGAAACATTGAATGTATGTAGTGTGCAACAGTTGTGTCAATTACACATAGCTTTTAAACTAGGTCAAACGCAAGGCCCCCCCCAAAAAAAAAAATATATTAATCGCACCTCCAAGGTATATCGAAAGGCATTATTCTCTTTAAGACGTTTCGCCTTCAGTATTGTACCGTCTTTCTAGTTATCGTCAAACTCTGGTTTGATCACGTGATTCACGTCGACATAAGGTATCAAGTACATCTGGAAAATTAACCAAATGTGGATTTCTATGTTTAATTCAAACTACAAATAATGACAAAAACCTCTTAGAATGGATTTCAAATTTGATATTTGAATAATATATTTCTTGAGACAATTTAAACACACTTTTGTGAATGACCTGAATAACCTCGTAAAATTGTTATGAAAAAGGTTTCCATTTAAATGAAAGTTTGTGATAAACAAAAATGAGCGGAAACTTGAAAATGAAAAACACGGTTCGCACTTACGGTCTCATCTGATGGGTCGTTCATTTTCTCTAGCGCCGCAGTGATTTCTGCAAAACTAGGGCGTTGGCTTGGGTGTGCTTGCCAACACTTCATCATGAGATCGTAACTGAAAAAAAGTAAAAACGCAATCAAGCCAATGCACTGAAGGTTTTGTGGAGATGCTGTGGCAAGAGTGTAATATTTCTTGCCACTTTGAAGCACACTTCTTTTTACTTTAATTATTTTAAAGATTACTCCTTGTAAAGCCAGCACAGTTTTTTTTCAAAACTTCGATTACCGACACGTCCAGTTTGCACAGCATTGATGTCAGTAAAGCTAAAACTAATACATTCTTTGTCCACGCCAAAACTTGCCTTGGTGTTATTTTTGTTCCGCTGCAGTGTGAGATTTACGTGATCTGAAATTGTGATTTTAAACACATGAACCCCTCCTGTAGTCCTGCTTTGAAAAAGTTATTTGGACTAATTGCTTACCAAACACTCTGTTTTAAATAGGGGGCAGTATATTTGAAGAAAAAAATGCTTATAGTTACATTTCATCGGCGCAGTTTTCCGGCTTGGGCATTCGGTAGCCTTCCTGCAATCGTTTGGCCAACAACTTGCTCTGAATTCCTGGATAGGGCGTCGCTCCTGCAATAACCAATTAAAATAACAATTCATCCTTCAAATAATAACATCTTTAATTGTCCATACAACATACCAGTATTAGAACCTCAAAGTTGCCGTGAATTCGAATGAGACTGTGGTGAGTATAGACATATTTTATAGAATTGAAAATGTGACTTAATTGGAAATATATGGTCACATTAAAAATGAAGATTTCCACACTGTACCACGTTTTTTATACCAACTACTTCCAAATAATAACCTATCGCAAAATTATCACACAGCCAAGTTATATATATTGCTTCCAAAACACATTCCCTCCTGCTGGAATATAACGATCTGAAATACAGGGTGGAGAAAAAAAAACCCAAATGCTGCCCTTATTTTTTTTTTTTTTTTTTGCATGTAGCGTTTTCCCGGTCTAGGATATGAAAGTCCAATTAATAAGCTTTAAATCGCTCAATGGTTCTATTTTATTTTTTTCACTAGTCAGTCGGGCTACTGACACAGACTCTTAACTAGCCCGCGAGGAACTCGATCATCGTTTAAGCATGAAACTTTATGAAATAATTCTGTGACGGTCACTGGGTAAAAACTTAAACTAAAACAGGCGAATCAAATGTCTTTTGAGACGGATAATTGTTTTGAATAAACTGAAGGATTTTTTTACCCATTAAAAGGTGATCCAAACGAGCCTTAATAAATCAAGAATCCATCGGATGTACGTAGGTTAACCTCCGCGTCGTTATCATTTTCGTTCTCACGCAAGTACGCGATGTGAAAACGGACATGATCCAACAAGGCAAGCTTGGAACGAAAATATAGGTCGTAAGTAAAATTCTTTTTTACCCATTTCCAACTGATTTCTCATCTATTTTTTTTTTGGCAATTTTTTCAGTCTTTTTAATAAACAGATCTTATAATTTAACCCTAAAACAGTTGATAAAATAATACACAAATCGATACAGGTTACCACTCGAGTGTCGAGTGGTAAGACATCTGCTCTAGAAAGCAGGAGGTCGTGGGTTCAAGTCCCACCCGAATAATTTTTCCATCTTTCACTCGGGAGGTAACACACTGAGTATACAGTATTTAAATGAAGGGCAAAACCTAATTTGAATTATTGACCTTTGTTAATAATCAAATGTCATTTGTTTACTTTCATCTCGATATAGTTAGAAAATATCAGATGACAATTTCATTTGGTTAAAGACCTGTTGACTTTTTGCCTTGTCAACTACCCAAACGGTATAATTCAAGTAATTATTGTCGTGAGCTTTATTCATAATATTTTAGTCAATCTGTCATCTCCTTTTATCTTCTTTTCATCGCATACTCATGGCAACTTAATTCATTAACTTTAATCTTTCTTATCTTTCACCTCTGTTCTTGGCTACTTGTTACAAATGTAAACCTTAAGAACTCCTATGCCCCCGGGTGATGCTGATAATAATAGCTTTTTTGAGTGGAAGGTGGGGCGGCAGCGGTGAAAATTTGAATTTGCCAAGCAGAAAATGGCTTCAGTGATTTTCCATTGCACTTATGATTTGCATTTTCACTAAATGGGATTCAGCTTTCTGCTTTATTCCCTGTGGTTCTTTTGTAAGTGACATGTACAGCTCACAATTCCTAAATAGAATGAACATAGAGTGATCCATACATTTCATTAAGTGTTATTTAGTTTATTTTTATTGGGCTTTCGTATCCTAGATCTGGAGAGCGGTACATGCAGAATTTCATAAAAAGGTCACCATCACCTGATAAAAAGTGAGTTACTTACCGAATGTTGCTATCTCCCACAGCACGATCCCAAATGACCACCTGGCAAAAAATCGACACAACAAATCAGGCATGAAAAACGACTCATAATTCTAACTTGGAAGGGAAATTAACAAAACGCCCTGGGATTTCTAATGATCTTAAAGTGGTAATTGCTTTGATGATTGTACTTACACATCACTCTTAGACTTGTACATCCGACGGGTCAAAGACTCGATGGCCAACCAGCGGAAAGGAACGCGGTTCTTAGGCAGCATAGTTACAAATAAAATTTGGGGGGGGAAAAGAAGGTGGTCAATTAACACGATGCACTTATTCGAAAAATGTATAAATTCATAGAAATAAACAGACACTGAGACTCAGATGTCGTCACAAATTATACATAAAGTGTTTCCATGATAAGGTAATACTATCTACTCCACTTGTGCAGTATTTATTGTTACGTTTGGTGCTTTTCGAGCGCTATTGGAAACTGTGTTTAAAGAATGAATTTCACAACAAGTTCAATGTACACATTACCACTGTTTCAATTCTGCACCTGTGCACTTCATTAATATTCTACTGACAGCATTATAAGTACTGGGAAAAAGCGACAACTTTACCTTCGATTTCTGAAAGTAGATGTCTTCTCCCCGTGATAGTCCGAAATCAGAAATCTTGGCAGTCAAGTCCTCCCCGAGAAGTATGTTCCTCGCAGCCAAGTCACGGTGAATTATCTATGTTAGAAAAAAATTATCTTGAAGATAATAATCAGTCATTCGCCATTTACAATATGAACCCTCACATGGCTGGGTCCCACTTATACTTCTTGGTGGAAAAGGGAAGATAAAGTAATGTATCCTGCTCAAGAACACTATACGTTGGGATTTCCATTCATGTAACACCAAACATTTGTGTGGGACACGTAGCCACTCGGTTCATAAAGCCTATGACATTTTCAACCTGCAAGAATATACTAAAAGAATTTGGTATGAACCCCCAAACAAATAATCTAAATAGTGGCATATTTAGATTCAGTTGCAAGTCCATACCCCAGTGTCAGAGAGGTGATCCATTCCTCTGGCTATATCTATGCCGAATGTCAGTAAGTTGGAGGAAGTCAGAGGTGATACACCATCATCCGACTTCATTGCCACCTGCTGCTGGGGGCGAGTACTCCTCAGGTAGTCACGCAGGTTGCCGTTGGGGAGATATTCAAGAGCAATGTACAACACGGCTGGAATAAAAAATGAAATCACTGGCCAGACTTTAAACATTTGAGGACGCGTACATTTCCCTGCGTGCAAGAAATGTGCGGTGAGTTAGGCCTGGATTACTAAATATCGTTCTTAATAAGTGGTTTGCCAATAGGCTCCAATTATTCCTATGATAGGAGTATAGTCCAAAAACTTCCTTTATCCTTTGGAAAAGAAGGCCCGAAGGATTTCCCCTCCTGAACTTCAATAATTTATTATGAAATGTACTCACAGTTTTATCATCCAGAGAATGATTGATTATAATGGTACCTTTGTGTATACACGCGCCAATCAGACCAACTACGTTCGGGTGTGGCTTGATTTGAGACATTGTCTTGAACTCGACCAGGAAGTCTTCGGAAGCAGTCGTTGTCGCACCTGTAAGGAGAAAACGAATAGAAATTTGCATTTCAATGAAACATGTTCCACAAATCAAAAATGACGAGATCAAGATAATTAACGATTTCAACCAAAAAGGTTGAAGGTGTTGTCGGCCTGAGATCAAAAGCGAGTATATTTTTGTTTTACCTTTGACAGTTTTGATGGCTACTTTGGACATTTCTCTGATTTCGAGACTGCCTGCTCTCACTTCCCCAAATATTCCCTTGCCAAGGACCTTATCCTCAATAGTGAGATTCTGCCATTGGATTTCCAGTCCCTTAGCCCATGCTGGTAAGCCAATGTCTTCGTTGATGTCCCTTTCAATGTCTTCTATGATTGGTGACTCAATACCATGCGTGCTCGGATCTCTGACATTAGAAATCTCCTGTTATGCCCAGGATAAACAGAAAACAATTAAATACCACATAACAAGTGAAGCGAGACATTCGTGTTAACATTCCACACCAAAGAATATGAGTTAATTCGACTGCCTATCTTTCGAAAGTTAGTTTTCTTTTAGTTTTTTATAAGAGCTCTCTTTATCTTTTCCCTTTTCCAAAATAACTACATTTGCCCTTTTTCAGAGTGTTGATGGCTACTTTGGAGATTTCTCTAATTTGTTTTGGTTTTTTTTTAATAAAACAACACTTACGATTAGTTGATCGTCAAGCTTCGGAGCACTGTCGCTGTTTCGTTTCCTCCACACCACGCAGCCGATGATGATGACAATTACAGCAATAGCTAACAGTACCCCGAGAATGATGGCTGCTACGTTTACATGTCCATTGTTCGGTGCATCGGTTGCACCGGCTTGGAACAGATTAACAAATTTGTGGTTATTATAAGTTGCGCCACTAAGTAGATAATCATCGGAGACGCCACACAATTGAATCACGGGCAAACATAAGACTGATCGAACGAGAGGAACGACTTTAATGAGACAGTAACACAAGAGGTGAAAGATGGCCGGCTTGGCCCATGGGATAAAGTAACAGGACGTATGAGGGCGCTATCCAACTGGCGTTGCATAAACACTATGCAGGATTCTCCAGATACAAGCTTTGAACACGTACTGTAATGTATACATTAAACGTATCCAAGAATCTCACATTGGCCCCTGTTATTCCAAGAGTAATAAAACAGGAGCGGATTTGAGGATTTTAAGTTTGCAATGTACATATCTTTCTTTAAATGCATATCTTTCTTTAAATACATATCTTTTTTTTAATGCATTTAGTTCATTTTGTTGCATGTGGTACCGTACTTGAACATTGACAGTTTATTCCGAGGTACGACGAGGCGCAAACACCATTGTTACATTCTCCAGTATCCTTACTGCAGGTGTCCCCTGGTGCACAGTGGCACGTCTGCTTACAGTCAGCTCCAAACGTCCCCTCAGGACAATCTGACAAAGAAAAAAAGTTGGAGCAAAAGTACTGCACATTTTGTGTCTTCTTGTGTTGATTTTAAGACCGAACACATTAGAGTGTGTTGGGTCTTAACGAGACAAACATTATGTATGCATATACACAACGCCGTGTAATGATTTGGATTATATATAAATATTTCTATTTAGGCCCAATCCACATTTAGCACCATAAATAAAAAGAACTCTATTTTGTTCACCTTGCGTGCAGTCTGGTCCTGTGAATCCTGCAGCACACGAGCATCCGTAAGGATCACGAAGACAAAACAAACGACCCCGGCAAGCATTGTCGTACGGATCGCTGGTATCGGAGCAATTGTGACCAGCATTTTGACCGAAAACATTTCGGCCGAAAACTGACAAAAAAATAACGTCACAGTAGTAGTTGGTTGTTCATCATTTCACTGCATTTTATAAAGCATGTTAATACCGTGAAACATGCGTATGTTAAAAGCTTTGCTCCTTTGTTTCTGGCACATTAAATTATATTCATAGATTAGCCAGGATACAAAATATAAGTCTCTGATATTAATGAAAGGAATTATTTTAATAGTACTTGTTTATGAACAATACCTTTTTGGCAATATTCTCCACTGAATCCTGGAGCGCAGATACACGTTCCCGTCTTGTCATCACATATACCTCCATTGTAGCATCGAGGACAGGTGTTAAGGCATGACGGTGGACGCCACATACCCTCAGAACAACCTTGGTAAATTCAAATAAAACTTCCAAAGGTTAAACTTGTACAAAATCATTTCAAAAAGCTTCTGATCATTGCACAGGCTTACTTGTTATGTTTTACCTCGAACAATAAGTCTCATAATGCCATGCAGTTGTCGATTCTCCTGGTCAGACGCAAAGCAGCTGTAGACTCCTCCATCACTCACAGCAACATCATCAATAGACACACTGAGCTGGTCATTCCAAGAGGTGAGGATGTCTCTTCCATTATGCCGCCATCTATAGTTTTTGTTTGGTGCATTCACATGTTGCATCTCCAGTCGAACTGAGTCTCCGACATTTGCTATCTGAGTTCGCTTAACTGGACGTATATGGACTACACTTCCTGTAAAGGCAAGGGCGAAAAATCGACAGTGGATTGTAAATCTCAGTCTCGGAATGAGAAGCAACGATAATTTCCTAGGAATCTGTTGCATTTAAGATGTCTGCTTAAAGGCTTTTTTTTTTATACGAGCAACCAGACTTACCATCTTTAGGCAGAATGATGGTCTGTATCCTCGTGTTTGTCATGTCAGCTCTACTCGCCTCGCAGTAGAAGACACCCGTTCTGCTGATCCCACCCTCTTCGGGTAGGTTTAGCTGTCTGACCTGACATCCTAGGAGTGGATCTTGGAGCTGATTGGACCCTGACGGAAGGTCATTACTCCCTCCTGTTGTCACTTGTCGACCGAATGAGACATCAGCGGAGATATCGTTGGGACCTTTGTAAGCTGCAATGGTTGCATGGTCGTCTCCAGTTTGGCCGAGTAGAGCAGGATTAGTAACGAGAGTAAAATCCACCTCCCCGTCTATTTGAAACACAAAGTATTTGCAATATTTTGCCCTGTCATACCGTTAAGGGTCTTCTACAGTTCCGATAGTGGATAATATGTATACGGATTATTTGATACCTTCAAAATGTACTTTGTTCCAATTTCTTTATCGAAATCACATTTTCTTTTATGTTAACTTTTGAAACGATCGCGCGGTCTATGATATCACGTAAACCGAGACAAATATCAGGTCCTCATCAACTTTGGATGCTGTAGACTGAATATTTCAAATGATGTGAATACGTGAATGGCGTATGGCGAAAGAAAACTAAAAGGTAGCCGATAATCAACAGATGCTATTCAATGTCTACACTCACCTCCTCCTTCAGTATACAAGTACTCTCCAACCATGACTTCACGCATGTGAAGGATTTTATCGGTACCACGGAGATCCACGCTGACGTAACGGGCGGTGACCACTGGGTCCGCTATTATCTCAATGGGTCTCGTTGTATCGATGGCTTGCTCTTCAGTGATTGTGCCTATCACTCTGTTTGATACATGATCTGGATTCAACCCTGCTCTTACTATAGCACCTATTATACGGTAACCTGCAAGTTTGGAAGCAAATTAATTTAACATTGTTCAATTAGAGATACAAAAAAATGTCTCAACAAGCTCTTCCTTTTTTATATTCAACATGAGGCAAATATCTTATAGTGGGCCTATACCCAAATTTGAAGGGAAAAAATATGTATGCACAATCGTTTAAGCTTAAATAGTGGCCTTCAACTTAATGTGATCCACATGATATGAACACGGGCGGGAGATGACTGACGTACTGTTCAAAAATGAAACTGTTTTCTAGAGAAAAAACAGATTTGGAGTTGGGGTGGTTAAGGCAATAACACGGACTGAATAATCGTCGGGGGACTTTATTGGAGGAAGCATTTTTTTTTGTTTCAGCGTTGAACACATCGAACCCCTACTTCCATACGAATTTATGTCATCGGTGGGGTATTCAAAGGAATATTATAATAATGAAATACTATGACTGTTTGCTTTTGTTAATGTTTCTGTTGAAAAGCCCGATCACATACACACGAAGGCATACATGTTTACGTTACATCCATAGTGTGGACATTCGTTCTTTTTTTTTTCGTGTAGTTAGGAAAAAACTGTCAAAAACTTATTGTACTCACAATGTGAAACTCTTTCAACCCAATTTTTTTCTAGAATTCCCTTGGGTGTTTCTCTTCATTTTGCAACGAATAAACCTGACCCAAATGCCTCTAAATCTTTTTTCCAGGGAGGGAAACCCAGTGTGGACGTGGGCAAGTCCTCACAACGTATCTGCAAACAGGTTTATGTGGACATCTTTAATTCGGAAGTCCACACAGGGAATGTAATGCTTGTAAAACATTACCACAGTTTCTTCGTTCAGGAATGTAACAGAAATTGTCTTGTCTGTTTAAGATGGTGATACTTCTCAAGCAGTAGACAGTTTCCAAGTCCAATCTCCACCACGGATCTGTCATTTCTTCCGCTGTGCTAAAAGCTGTGGATGTATCAGATAAGACCCAAATGTTAAATGTGTTCATAATTTGCATGTCGCACTGGTGTAGTGTCGCCCTATCGATTTTTCAAGTCACGTCATGTCATAGTTTTTATTCTTCTCAACTATAGGCTAGTTGAACACAATTTGTGATTCGTTAGAGCGTTGAAGCACATGTAACTAATCGAAGCTCCATTCTGATTCAACTTGCTAACAAAAATTTATAGAACACTGTAATCAATAAATCTGAAATTTAACCCAAAAAATTCACATATCTGCCCTGTAATTCATTTTTACAGCAGTTTTGATGTTGAAATTTCAGTTTTCAAACTGCTTTTTCTGAAAGAATCTGTTAATATAGAACATTTTGTTGTAACTAGCACTGCAGATTAACGGGTTCTGTAAATGTTCATGTTTATTTCATTTTGAACAGATCATTTTGATGTAGACCATTGTAGTCTGCTAATACAATGTAATTGTGGTCGCAGGAGCGGCGGAACGCTTTTCAAACGGGGGGGGGGGCATAATATAACTATAGTTATGTAGAGAGACCATTATTTATTTTTTCGCGAGAGGGGGCCACTGTTGTTTTTGATGGCCAATCTTCCATCTCGACAGAGGCACAATTTCATGAGAGGGGTATTTATACTTTCGTGGGGTATATTTCCATGTCGAGAAGGTGCACAATCCTGTAATTGCGAGAGGGGAACTTGTACTTCTGAGCGGCAGTTTTGCATTATCAGAGAGGAGACACTTTTTTGTAGCGCGATGCTTTCATACGAGGGCGTGTGAGGGGCAGTTTTGTTTTCATCTCGAGGGGGCACATTATAGCTGCGAGAGGTGCACTTTTGCTGGTCAGCCCCCCCCCCCTTCCCCCCGTTCTGCCGCCTCTGTGCTGTCGTGATGCATTTTGGGACTCATTATGCGTAAATAAGAAGCTATAAAATGGTCTTTAAAATAATCCTAACATTGGTTAGGGCGTAGCCAATTCCCAACCCTCACTTTTGGCCCCACCCCACAACCTTTAGCTGTGATTTATGTGCACGTCGAATTCATGCATGCGAAGCTAGTATCGAATATAACAAAAGTTGTATCATAATCTGATTAATGTGCTGTCACAATCGCAGTGCCTGTATATCAGTCGAGGTGTTAACCATAGGTCAATCTGTTGAATACCCCTTCCCCGTCACTCTTTGTCTCAACTCCACTGCCATCAGACAGAATGTATCGATTCCTCCTCATCCTACCCTTGTCTTCCATCGGATCCTTTGATCCGTCCTTTGTAAATCCCCTGTTTTACATTATATTCTCAGAACATGCATCATCTGTTTCATTGCGTTATCTGTTGCAATACTGTTAAAACTACAGGAAATCTGAGCAAGGATAGCAGTAACCGTTAATGATCGAGCCTGAAAGCCTGACGGTATATTTACATTAGCTGGTTGGAAAGCCAATTAACAGAGTTGAAAATGCAAGTGATGTTTCCTGTTGAAATACCAACTTACAGATGAAACTGAACAGATTTAATGTAAGATAATTTTCTGTTTTTTCCCCCAACTATTCTCTAAAATCAGTTTACAACACTTTGAGTAAATCTAAAAGTGTAGGGCGACGCTTCTGCCATAACTTTTGATGTAAAGTTACAGAATTATTTTGTACAGTGTTGCTTTGGTTACTTAGTGCTCCATACCTACAACAATCATCAATTACATGTATCGACATACTTTTCTTCCTTCTTTTAAATTTAAATGTGCTCTTAAATTACTTACCAGTTTGCATGTATGTGTTGAGATCGCCATCCACAGCTAACCCTGCCACTTCAGAGTCGGCGGTTGAGCTCTGTGTAGCCGGTTTTCCCACAACGTTTAGTGATATCACTGTGATTTCAGATACAGCATTATTGTTTAGCAAGTTATTGTGACCAGTTTTCAAGGGGCACTCCGTCCTTGAAACCACCCAATTGGGCTACAAAACGAATTTAAAACGAAATGATCATAATTAAAAAGAGCATTTACAAGTAGAATATAAACGCCCACGCAACCATCCTTCAAAAAAATGACCGGTTTTTGTGTTGCGAGAGAATTTAGGGTTTAATAGTAGCCGTTTAGGATTGTCACTATGTCCTAATTATTCAGTCACTTGTATGCTTAAGAAAATCTTATTGAAGTAGGGGTGTGTAAGAAGAATCACCAAAATACATTTTTCAAAAAAAATAGAATATAAAAAAAATATACTAAAATATAGGAACAAATATATTACACGATAGGTATTAAAGATTTATGCAAATTAAGCATATTTCCACTAAAAATTCAGCTTGGTAACCATCATTTTATTTTCGGATTCAGCAACCCACAATTAAGTAAATAACTATATTACCAACTTCTACTCAAAATGCCTCTTCTTGTGACTTTTTGAAATATCGCCTAGTCTAGAAGTAGTGTAAAATCATTTTAAAACACTTTTGTAAAATCATTTTACACCCCCTGATGCAAAACTAAAAAACAGCAAAGTGTCGATGCTACTGCCTCAACTTTTGATGGAAAATTCCAGAATTATTTTAACAATGTATATTAAATGGTCTGACAGATTACTGGGGGCAACGTCAAAGAAGCAGACTTATATTTACGGCTGAAAATACGTATGCATTAGGTTGGTTTCCTTTTAACCAAACAGGGAACAATCTTTAACATACAAATTTCGGCGAATTCAGGACGATTTACTCCTTTTATTTCTTTCTGTAATGTAATAACTGAAGGTACCCCTAATATATAAATAAAAAATAAGAAACGTAACATTTTAAAACAAAAAACGGTTACTGTTATGTAATAACAGGTAGGACCGTCATGTAATATGAAAGTATGCATTTACTTGATCATATTGTTTAAACCTGCGACCCTGCTACCCAGCAACCTTGCGACCGGGTTGGTCCCCGATATGCAATCACCGTTTATGAATGTGACCTCTTTTTTTGGTGTTTGGACTTCGAGACTTTCCTCAATGACCACACACAGCATGAAACATAGATCAAACGTCACCCTTGATCCACCGGCAATATAACTTACGTTTTAAGTTTGCCTCCCTTGCAAATTGTGCATTTTTTTTTCAAAGAAAGAGAGAGAAAGATAAAGGGAGTGTGTGGACGTGGGAGAAACGAAAACAACAAAGTAAACAGAAAACTTCAGCAACAATAGGCAAGCTTTAATAAGTTAAGAAAAAGTACCGATTTTGTTCC